AAACACATTTTAATGAAATGTACTGCCTGAGCTGCCCTTACCCCTGCCCCTTTCCCCCATCGCCCCTCCCCTCCTTCCACATCCCCCGCCCCTCGGCGTGGCTCCATGAGGCTTGCCGTGACGTCAGGGACCACGTGGTGATTTACAGACAACAACGTGAGTTGAGCGTGGACAATTAGAGCCGTAAATAATTGTTAAAAAAATATTTTTAATTTTCAATGATAGAATATAGTATTGTCATCATTATGACATAGTTATACCAAGTTTGCAGTCGATAGGACATTGGGAATACGGTTAAAATTGAGTTACAAGATTTTTTGATACGACAACACATCCAGTAAGTTAAATAAAAGCGTGTAAAAAGTTTTAAATATGTTTAGGATTTTTGTTTTTGTGATAGAATATCGTGTTGTCATCAGTATGACATAAATATACCAAGTTTGCAGTCGATAGCACATTGGGAAGTGTGTAAAAATTGAGTTACAAGATTTCTTTTTTTAAATCCTTTATATTAAGTTCACTTGCTTGCGCGCTTACGACCGTGCAAATCTTTCGGTCGTTTTTTAACCCACTTCCCGTGATCCAATCGAGCTGACATTTTGCACACAGACTCGTTGTGCGTGACAATGTATTTTCGTGAAAATGTTTTTTCCAAAATTTGACACTTTTTAGGAAATAATAAATTATATTTAATTACCAATTGCTTAATGGTGGCAGCCATTCATCTGACCCATAGGGTGGCAGCCATCTCAAGCCAGAGGACGAGAGGACTCTAGCCGCCACGCATATAAAGGATTTATAGTGAAAAACTTTGTTTTTACGGGTACATTTTTTGAGGATACAACAGACGAAGTGAGTTATAAAATAATAATAATAAAAAAGCGTGTAAAAAGCGTGTAATCACAATAATAAAAACGCTTCGGTCAAATGATCGCGGGCATACCCATGGCTGTCAACCCATCCGGTTTACCCCGCGTTCTTGTGCAGAGGAATTGAGCATTCAGGGCCATGCGTCTTACAGCCGCCGTTTCAATCCGGGAGAACATTAATCATATTTATTGTCTTATCTGTTTGTGTTTCTCCCTCGTGATGGGGCATTGTAGGATGAACGTTGAGATGTATAGGGGCACGGGGTGACCAATACGATCTAAATTGGTCTGTGATAAGGTAGGCAATGATAAGGGGTTGACAGGTATGTAGTGGTGTAGTGTATTGTGTAGTGTATAGTGTAGTGTATATAGTAGTGTATAGTGTAGTGTATAGGATGAACGTCGAGATTTAAAGGGGCACGGGGTGACCAATAAGATCTGAATTGATCAGTAATACGCTAGGCAATGATAAGGGGTTGTGACAGGTATGAGTTCCTGAGCAGTTTCACGCACCAGCACGACGTTTCGGGCAACTATCCTGCATATAGCACGTGGATAGAGTGGATTTACATTTAAGGTTTGGATGTTGTGCTTGTTCATAGCACGTCGGCCTGTGAAATGTTTCCTAATGATTTAAAGCTTTCGTGACTGCAGGGATTCATCATCAAACATAATAAAATAAAATGTTTTTTTTATTATTTCCCTTCTACGTGACTTTACCAAAAGAACCAAGATGTGTTTCCTAATGAGTCGTTTTAAAAATAAAATGTTTTATTTTTATTATTTTATTATTTCCCTTCTACGTGACTTTACCGACAGAACCAAGAAGATGTTTCCTAATGAGTCGTTTAAATTTTTTTTTTGAAATATTAATGCAAAAGTTCGCCTAACTATTCATATGCAAATGTGTATCTGAAGTCGCCTATCCGATTGGTCAATGGCTTCTGAATCGATTCGTCATTAAATGGCAGCAATGATATCGATTGATTAACAAGGCATGATCGATTCCTCGTACAATACGGGTGCATGCCGTCGTCTCGTCAGTATTTGCAAAGGACAACCATTTGGCCGCCGAATCATTTATAATCGATCTCGAGTTCGCTCGTCAAAATACTCGATATCCTTTACGTTAATTTTTAAAAAAAACAATGCGTTGCTTCTATTAATTATCGTGACGCGTGCTACTTAACGTTGTGGCTATTTCAATTTCCGGATAGTCATACATGTTTAAAATCAATGCATGACGTACATCGATTCCACATATATCGATTACCACGTCTTTAGTTTCCACCTTGATCGATTCAATCTTCATCTATTCCATCTTCATCGATTCCACGTCTTTAGATTCAACCTTTATGGATCGATTCTATCTTCATCGATGCCATATTTTTCTAATTCCATTGTTATCGATTTCACCTCTTATCGATTCCACCGCCCTCGTTAACCCCCCCCCCCACCCCCCGCGCGGCCGCGCCTCACTCTGATTGGCCACTCTTCTCCGCCAATAGAACGCCGTCTTAGTCCGAGGCGCGCCGGTCTCCACCAATCGTGCGTCGTCTTACTTCGCGGGGGTGGGGGGAGGCGTTTGGCGGGGCGGGGGGAGGGGTTTGGGGGGGGTGGGGGGAGGGGTTTGGGGGGTGGGGGGAGGGGTTTGGGGGGAGGGGTTTGGGGGGAGGGGTTTGGGGGGGTGGGGGAGGGGGGAGGGGTTTGGGGGGGTGGGGGGAGGGGTTTGGGGGGAGGGGTTTGGGGGGGTGGGAGGAGGGGTTTGGGGGGGTGGGGGGAGGGGTTTGGGGGGTGGGGGGAGGGGTTTGGGGGGGTGGGGGGAGGGGTTTGGGGGGGTGGGGTTTGGGGGGTTGGAGGAGGGGTTTGGGGGGAGTGGGGGGAGGGGTTTGGGGGGAGGGGTTTGGGGGGTTGGAGGAGGGGTTTGGGGGGAGTGGGGGGAGGGGTTTGGGGGGGAGGGGTTTGGGGGAGGGGTTTGGGGGGGTGGGGGAGGGGTTTGGGGGGTGGGGGAGGGGTTTGGGGGGGAGGGGTTTGGGGGGAGGGGTTTGGGGGGGTGGGGGAGGGGTTTGAAGGGTGGGGGGAGGGGTTTGGGGGGGAGGGGTTTGGGGGGAGGGGTTTGGGGGGGTGGGGGGAGGGGTTTGGGGGGTGGGGGGAGGGGTTTGGGGGAGGGGTTTGGGGGGAGGGGTTTGGGGGGGTGGGGGGAGGGGTTTGGGGGGGTGGGGGGAGGGGTTTGGGGGTTGGGGGGAGGGGTTTGGGGGGAGGGGTTTGGGGGGGTGGGGGGAGGGGTTTGGGGGGGTGGGGGGAGGGGTTTGGGGGTTGGGGGGAGGGGTTTGGGGGGTGGGGGGAGGGGTTTGGGGGGTGGGGGAGGGGTTTGGCGGGGTGGGGGGAGGGGTTTGGGGGTTGGGGGGAGGGGTTTGGGGGGTGGGGGGAGGGGTTTGGGGGGTGGGGGGAGGGGTTTGAGGGGAGGGGTTTGGGGGGTGGGGGGAGGGGTTTGGGGGGAGGGGTTTGGGGGGTGGGGGGAGGGGTTTGGCGGGGGTGGGGGGAGGGGGGGTTTGGGGGGTGGGGGGAGGGGTTTGGGGGGTGAGGGGAGGGGTTTGGGGGGTGGGGGAGGAGGGAGTGGGGGAGGGGTTTGGGGGTGGGGGGAGGGGTTTGGGGGGTGGGGGGAGGGGTTTGGCGGGGGGAGGGTTTGGGGGTGGGGGAGGGGTTTGGCGGGGGTGGGGGGAGGGGGCGTTTGGGGGGTGGGGGGAGGGGTTTGGGGGGTGGGGGGAGGGGTTTGGCGGGGTGGGGGGAGGGGTTTGGGGGGAGTAGGGGGCGGGGCTACCCTGATGACGCGAGACGCGCGTCACGTGAGCGGGTGAGCGCTGAGGTTTCCCGCCTGATTCTTCCTCACCAACCCTCGGCCCCCCTCGACCCCCTCATCCCCCTTCGTCCGCCGTACAACTCCGACACTAGGGACCGGCGTCTGGCGGCGGCGGCGACGACGTCGAGGGAGAGAAACTCTCTCGCAAGCGGCGGGGGAAGACGGCCACCCTCGCACCAAGCGGGGAAACACGTGGCGTCGATTGGCGTGCGCCGCTCTTGTGAGGCCTAGTTCAGGCTTCAGCGGCCCAGGCCGAGCCTGGGACTCCCCTCTCGACCCGTGCCCCGGGGCCGCCTCTCTCCACCCTCCTCCTCTTCCTCCTCCTCCCCACCCACTCGGGAGTTGGCGTCGTGGCTCGCGCAGTTCTTCGTCGTTCCGCCATCATTTGGTTCTCTGTTCGCCGTGACCCCCATCACCACCACCGCCGCCGCCTCCTCACCCGATAGAAGCCGTCCACCTCCGGGTGGCTGGGCCCCCCGTGTTTGCCTGCCAATTGGCGTCCGTGGTGTTCGGTTAGTAGCAGGCATTTATATTTTATTTTTTGACCGAGATTTTTGTGCTGCTTTTGTGTTGAGCTATCGCCCTTTACTGCACAGTTTTTTTGGTTAAATAATAGACCTGGGCCGACTCGGAAATACGTCCGATTTTTGATCTTTTTCTCCACTGGTTCTGTCCTCCTGATCCTCTTGCTCCACTGGTTCTGTCCTGGTCCTCTTGCTCCACTGGTTCTGCCCTGGTTCTCTTCCTCCGCTGGTTCTGTCTGGTTCCCTTGCTCCACTGGTTCTGTCCTGGTCCTCTTGCTCCACTGGTTCTGTCCTGGTCCTCTTGCTCCACTGGTTCTGCCCTGGTTCTCTTGCTCCACTGGTTCTGTCCTGGTTCCCTTGCTCCACTGGTTCTTCCTGGTTCCCTTGCTCCACTGGTTCTGACCTGGTCCTCTTGCTCCACTGGTTCTGTCCTGGTTCCCTTGCTCCACTGGTTCTGTCTGGTTCTCTTACTCCACTGGTTCTGTCCTGGTCCTCTTGCTCCACTGGTTTCTGACCTGGTCCTCTTGCTCCACTGGTTCTGTCTGGTTCCCTTGCTCCACTGGTTCTGTCCTGGTTCTCTTACTCCACTGGTTCTGTCCTGGTCCTCTTGCTCCACTGGTTCTGACCTGGTCCTCTTGCTCCACTGGTTCTGTCCTGGTTCCCTTGCTCCACTGGTTCTGTCTGTTCTCTTACTCCACTGGTTCTGTCCTGGTCCTCTTGCTCCACTGGTTCTGTCCTGGTCCCCGTGCTCCACTGGTTCTCTCCTGGTTCTCTTCCTCCACTGGTTCTGTCCTGGTCCTCTTGCTCCACTGGTTCTGTCCTGGTCCTCTTGCTCCACTGGTTCTGTCTGGTTCCCTTGCTCCACTGGTTCTGACCTGGTCCTCTTGCTCCACTGGTTCTGTCTGGTTCCCTTGCTCCACTGGTTCTGTCTGGTTCCCTTGCTCCACTGGTTCTGTCTGGTTCCCTTGCTCCACTGGTTCTGTCCTGGTTCTCTTACTCCACTGGTTCTGTCCTGGTCCTCTTGCTCCACTGGTTCTGACCTGGTCCTCTTGCTCCACTGGTTCTGTCCTGGTTCCCTTGCTCCACTGGTTCTCAATTTGGCAAAGTCGATATTCGCCCACATTACACAGCTCGGAACGATACAATGCAACCATCGCACACGACGGTGAGGTTTCTCTGGGAACTGTCGTCTCCTGGCAAGTTGGGCAGATCTCATTTACATCTGCCATATCTTCGATATTTTTAGGACTTGGGTTTCAGGCCAATTATAAGACCACATTTAAGTTGACGGGTTTGTCTGTGCAGTGTCTGGTGACCAATCTGAGACTCGTCCAAACTAACCACACCTCAGAACAACTCGTTCAGTCAGTTTGTTGGTCTCTGTATAAGTCTTAAATGTCACGTGAGTTATTTGTCACTGGGCTCAGAGCATCATCTGGTTTTGTTAGAGGTGGCTTAAACATGGATTTAATTCCAGGTTCTCGGCGGTGCTGGCTCTCTGATTAGACATCTCGACATTTCTGTATCAGATGCAGAAAATTCTGCCTGAATACATTATCTCAGGGCAGGATGTAACCTCGATCCCAGCAACACGTGTTGCTGGTGAATTAGAAATGCTATTGTTAGTCTGTGTCACCACCTCCACCAACACTAGAAAATAAAAGAAATCACATTTTTGGTCGATTTCCAGTATCATTTCGGTCACAATTAATTTTTGGGTTGGGCCACTTAATTATATGGCCAAACTTTTGTTGTGTAAACCCTCCACCACCCGACAGCATCACCGCTGTGAAATGGGGTTCTCAAATGTGAGTGTAAAGGTATTTAAACTGCCAGTTATTGTTTCGGCTCGCCGATAAGTTAAACAATTGTCACAGCCGAATTTGGTAGTTGGATACGATGGATTGCTTGACACTGCATGAAACATCGTAAGGTATTCAATAATAAAACTAATATAAAAGTATTGAAAGTGATTGTATCTTTATGTCACCACCTCCCATCCTACCATACCCCAGCAGTGCTGATTAGCAAGCGATGGCGGCGTGCGCGGTGGAGGTAAACCCGCGCGGGGACTTCCCGGCGTGGCTGGCGGCACGCGGCATGAAGCCCACGTTCGCCGACGCCATGCAGCGCGAGCTGGGCATCAGCGACTACGAGGAGCTGCTGGCGTGCGCCGAGGACGCGCAGGTGACGGCCGAGCTGCTGGGCGCCGCCCGCGACCGCCTGCCCTTCGCCTTCTACGCCGTGCTGCGCCGACTCGTGCTCGCGCTGGCGCCGACGCGGCGGCGAGGACGTCGCCGGCGGGGGACGACCCCGGGCGACAGCGACGGCGAGGGAGAGGAGCGGCGAGGGTCCGTGGACGAAGACGACGAGGAGGCGGGGGCGTGCGGTCCCCGCTGCGAGGGGGCGCTGGCGAGCCGCGCCGTTCTCGGCAGCCTCCTGGACGCCATCGTGGCCACGCTGAGCTCGTTGAGCCGCGAGTTGCTGCAGTCAGCGCAGCGGTTCCGCTGCCTGGAGCCGGCGCTGGAGCCCGGATACTGTGGCTCCATTGGTGCGGCCGGATCCAACTCTCCTGGAGAGAAGCTCATCGACACAGGTGACGCCGTCACGCCACCACTGCCGTTATAGGTTTATAGTGTCGCGGACACGCACTAAAACAGCACGCACATACGCCTACCGGATTACGTGACGCACCCCCGTTGCGAAGTTCGCATGGGTTCACCAAGAGAGTTACATATATGATCAAAGACTCGCACAGACACCCAGAGCATCTTGCAGAGACCCATAGACTCGTACAAAGTGAATTCTACAAACTCAGATAGATGTGTGGCGTTCACTTTGTGTTGCTGAGTAAAGGTCTCTGTCTGAGTGGCATGTTCTCTCTGGCTTTCCCTAGACATGGTGGACGATGATAACGTGGAGAGCCTGGCGGACTTGCAGCACGACGAGATAGGAATGAACGGACATGCCATTTCGAGTCAAAAACCCTGTGCAGGTGAGAGGACGTTGGTGGGTGGGTGGCCACACTTTGGAGGCAAAGGTTGATGGTTTACGTAGGACAGGGGTCGGTAACTTAAGGCCTGTGGTTCAGATAAGGCCTACCGCGTGGAAATGACACACCGGCAATATATTTTTTCTCCGTCCGCAGCTTGTGTGACCAGCAGCACCCGAGCTGACAAAGTTCCTTGCTTGTTTTTGTGTTTTTTAGACCGCGCCCAACGTGCCCAATGTGACCTCCACACCACCAGCACGGAGACGCCGTTTCTGAGCATCAAGGTCGAGCAAGAGGACGAGACGGAAGGTGAGATGCGTCTGTGTGTGGAGTGCGTGTGGGGCAGCCGCCCTCCAGCAACAGTGGAGGGCAGAGGAGCGACGCTCGCAACGAGCTGAGTGCAAGCAGCTAAAACGCATCAAGTTGGCATATTGGCGAGCACGGGTGGTGTATCTACCAGTCAACCCCATGGCCCCCTGGGTCTGTACCGTGACCGCCTGCTGGCGAGCCTTCCACACTTTGCGTGATAGCCTGAAAGTGCATCTAATCTGGCACAAGCACTGTGGTGGCATCGCCATCATGGGAGGTGAACGGCGGGTGTTGCGAATACAAATAAAACACTCGGCCTTCTAGACCGAATATTTCGTTCACACTCCGTTCAACCACCACACTGCAGATCACGTCACTTCTCTCTCTGCCTCTTCCATCGCACTGCTCCACTCTGGAATTTCCTCCCGTCGTTTCTTTTCCCATTTCAATATTTGTGTAATTATTTTTTTATCTATTCCAACTTTGGCAGTGCTGTTTGTTTGCTAGCCGATTGACGTTTTAGACCTTTGGGCCTGTGCCCAGCAACCGTGTAAAAAAAAGACAGTACAACGAGACGCAGCAAAGTGAAGAATCTGTCCATGAATCAAAATGACGACAATTCATCCAGTCGCGTGGGAGGGGTCGGGGCAGATAGGGGGGGTGGGGGCTGGCGGTGGCAGTTGGGAGGGGACGAGGTGAATCGTTACACCGTGGCCCAGCACGGGGGACCAGCGCTGCCTCCTAGCATCTTCGTCTTTCTTCAGGAAGGTTTTGGCAAGTTGCTGGAGCTCAAAACATCTTTGCCTTCGCCCTGCAGGAGACACAGCAGCCGAAGCAGCAGGGTGCCGTTTGCACGCCGGCTATTCAAAGCCCCCAGCCGCAGAGCCGCAGGCCGCTGACGCCAGTAGCTCGCAGCACAGCAGTTCCGACTCAAACTTCCGCGTCACACTTTTGCCGGAGAGAGACAAAAGCGGCAGCTCGCCTCTCGACTGCGACTACGATGAGGACAAGGAGGAGGAGGACGACCCGTGCGGTCGCTCTGCGTCGGCAGACGAGGGACCGTGCCGGCCAGAATTCCTGGGCTACCTCGACGGCACCGCGCTGGCACTGGTAGACGGCGGCCTGGAAGGGCCGGGGCTCGGGGCGTTGTGCCGGGCCGGCATCGGCGGTGGCGTCGCGCGGAGCGGCTCCACCAGCGGGGAGGCGAGCCGCTGCTGCGAGCAGTGCGGACGCTACTTCTCGTGCCGCAGCAAGCTTCTGGTGCACGTGCGGCGACACACGGGCGAGCGGCCCTACCGCTGCTCCTGCTGTGGCAAGACGTTCGCGCAGGCATGGAACCTGGTGCGGCACCGACGGATTCACGCGGGGCAAAAGCCGTACGAGTGCCAGAACTGCGGGCAGGCCTTCTTTCAGCAGAGCGAGCTGCAGAAGCACAAGTGCCAATCGCCGTCACCGCCACCGGCAGCAGTAAAGGAGGAGAAGGGTGGGGGGTGTGCCAGATAGTGCTTGTGACGATCGGTCTGCCGAACAACGAGCTCGTCCCCCTCGCCGTCTCCGCCCCGTCGATGTTTCGTGCCATCGCGGTGGCCACCGCCTGCTGCTGTGCGCAAGTACAGCCGAATGTGATCCATACTTATTAGTAGGTGAGCAGTAGCCGGGTTAGTAGGCCGAGCAGTCGTTGATTGATAAGTTGCCGTGTAACGATTCACTGCTAACCCCCCACCCCAAAGGTGTGCTTTGAGGGTGGGGGAAATACCAAATAATTATTTTTACTTTATTTAGCGTCATCCATGTACATTCTATCTCAAAACACTGAAGATTGTGAACCACGAATAACGTCCAGAAAGGGATGAGGAATGCTATCAAGACAACACCAATACGGTCAAGGGTGTGTGGTAACCAAACGCAAACCAGGCGGGGTGACGGTAAACACTTGAGCCCCTGTTATTGCAGAACGTCTAGAGAATGACCACACAGCACACCAACCATGGAGTCCCCTACATGGAGACAGCAATAAGACGAGGTTCCAACCGGCACCACAATGCTGGCAGATCGACACCAGAATGATTCATCACAGCTGCGGACAGTAACCGCCACCCCTCACACACAATGTCATTTCTAAGTTTACCACCGCCCTCGCCGCCTCTCCCGGGAGAGTCGATGTACCGTGAAGTTGTCAGGGTTGCAACCTGATTCATGAATCTGTTGCGTGCATCGTGCATCTCGTTTGGGTGTTTTCTTGTGTTCTGCCCGTTTCTGTGGTGTTTTCCGTCTCGCTTGTGTTTTCTGTCGCTCCTTGTGTTGTCCTTCTCGTTTGGTACATTAGGCTACTTGAGCGTCGCACAGTAATTCCTCGTTTAACGCGGCAGATTCGTTCCCGAGAAGTGCCACGTTAACATGAAATTAATGAAGCAAAAAAAAATTCCCCACGGGAGATGTTAGGAAATAGTTTGGCCAGCTACGATGTACACACACACCATAAGGTGGCGGGGCAGAGAATTGAAATTCGGGTACGTTACGCACTGTGTCATTCTGCGCGTAAGCATTCCCGTACCGCTCAGCCGTGCAGCTCAAGGAGAACAGTAGTTCGTCGTCGGATGCTCAGAAATCGTGTTATTATGATGTGCAAAAAAAGTATTCCCTAATAGAAGAACCGTGTTATAGTGAAATTGCGTTAAGAAAAGACTTGCCGTACAGTTTACGCATGTTTTTTTTTGTGAGTGAATGATTTTTGGGTTAAGCTGCAATGATCTGGCCAAAATCTTTTTTTTTCCTAAGATCCACCACTGTCAAACACGGTCACACCAATTCAGATTGTTACAAGGCATTTCGGGATCATTAAGGGCGGGTTCAGCAAGTCACAACGGCAAATAATTTCAAAACAACTATAGGAGTGCACAATAGGTAAGAAAGTCAGGAGATATAAACAACAAATTATGTTTTGATTTAAAGCTTTCGTGACTACAGGGATTCATATTCTTGGTTCTTTCGGTAAAGTCACGTAGAAGGGAAATAATAAAAATATAAAAACAATTTTCACGACGTTTCGACTGCAACACAAGCTGTGGATTTCACACCTGATGACGATTGCTTGTGTTGCAGTCGAAACGTGATAATTTTTATTCTTTTTATATTTTTATTATTTCCCTTCTACGTGACTTTACTGAAAGAACCAATAAAACATATAATTCAACTATTTCAAGGCTTGGACAAGGCAGCAAAAACAACAACAACAACAACAACACTCCCAGACCAAACTTAGGGTAACACATTTTACGTACCAACTATTTTTGTTTCGGCTCACTCTCGCCACGTGGGTTCAGAAAATCTCTCAACCAAATATAAGCGTCCCTCGCATAGCGTGCGACATGCATTCCTGAGGGGGGTTACCGAATAAACAATTATCATTTCATTATTTTAGCCCTGGATTTGTATAATAGGTGAAAATTATCGTGCCTAATTATGATATTAACATAGCAAAAATTACTTTAATAACCACTTATTAACATAAAATAATTGCTCCTTGCAAAGATTTATATTTGATGAGGGTAACTTTGAGGGCTTCTTGAACCCTTTCCGTGCACGATGCAAACAAAGACGGCAGATCTACAACGGCTACGCCCAGCCTCGGTGACGCCATCAGAAATATTCGGGGTTTTTTTATTATCGGAATTGTTATCGTTAAAGATTATTTTTTACTTTGAAAATGTTTTATACTCTTAGGTTTGTTTTCTGCTTTCTGAGCACGCAACTGTGAAACGCATAGTCTAAGTGTGACGTATGCCCCTTGAAGATGAATCTCTTGACCCCGAATTTGTGCTACGGGGGTGGGTGGGGGGGGGGCACGTTACGCGAGGGATGCATGTTAGAGAATTTTTGTTCAAATATTTCACCTGGAAAATCGCTTGGGACGGATCACCATCCCGTTCGCAGGGGAGTCCAGGGTATCAATTGACACTTGCGTAGCGAACACGTGATGGTGCCGCTTATGCGCGCACACACACACATTTGATATCTATAACTTCCATCGTATTAATTTATAGACGTGCGCACCCAGTCAAATAAAAATTGCACGAGTCATCGTGCCTGGAGCCAGCGAGGAAACACAATTGTAAAGCAACGCTAACAGTACGTTCACGGTGAGACTAAAAAGTAAATGGTGGGCTTCGGAGATCTCGTGGCGTCATTTGGAAAGATTAGTCAGTCATCGGTGGGTTTGCAGAGCCACATCACCCTCCACTGTGACACTACTGCAGACCGTGAAAGCGTCACGCTATACCAGTGTTCTTCACTCGCTTTAAAAGGCGGGGGGGACAGTTTCGCCGATAATTACACTGGTCAAAAAAAAAAACCATTTTTTTCTGGCCTGGACTTTTGCAGCTGTTTTAGACTAATTTCAGGGTGCTGATTCCAAATCTGATCTCAGATTTGCTCTATCACATCTCATTTTATGCTATCGGCATACCCCATTTTCATTGATTTTACCCGAAATTAACTCTGTCACTTATGATTGCAAGTTGTTGCGAGTCAGTGACTGCTTTAGTGTTACAATATGGTGCTGTATTTTTAGGATATTGTGTTTATAATATCATTTTATGTAGATATCCACATTTATTTAATATTTTTCTTCTGCAGTTATTGAAAATGCAATATTTGATATCTCAAAAACCTGATGTGATAGGATTTGGAATCAGCACCCCAAAATTACCTTAAAACTGTTGGAATACCTTGTGCCAGAAAAAGTGTGGTGACCAGTGTAATACATCATCAGTGTGAGGGCTGCAAGTTGTGTTTTCACTTTTGTGTCTTGTTGGGAGACCGCATCAGTGGCCCGTTGACCTTGCAATGAACAACACTGTGCGATGAGAATGGCGCAAATATCAGATTTTTGTATGTTGAACTTATTTCGTTCTAGATTTGAAACTTTCGTGACTGCAAGGATTCATATTCTTAGGTTTTTTCGGTAAAGTCACGTAGGTCAAAAATTAAAATTAATGAAAATAAAATAAAAATCACGACGTTTCGGAGGCAACACAAGCTTCCGTCTTCAGGTGGAACCATCACAGCACGATAGCTGTATCAAGTGATCAGTGGCCCGTGGACCTCAAGTGATACAGCTGTCGTGGCTGTGACGGTTCCACCTGAAGACGGAAGCTTGTGTTGCCTCCGAAACGTCATGATTTTTATTTTATTTTACTTTTATTAATTTAAATTTTTTACCTACGTGACTTTACCGAAACAACCTACGAATATGAACTTATTTCGCTCCATACGTAGCCAATTTCGATAAACTAAATTGTCAATTATTACTCGTTTGCTATCTGTGTGCCTATCGACACTGGACGCATTTGCAATTTGAGACGTAATCCATCCCGAAGGATTTTGCAGGTGAAATATTTAGTTTTTTTTAGATGCATTACTGTACAGTAGATATTTAAATAGCACCTGCACTGTTTACAACTATAATCCATTTCTATGTTTTTTTATGTTAACACAAGTATGTAATATTTACATTAATTCATTGACGTAGATTAATTAACTTCGGAGAACTAACGCATTAATCGGCATACATTAACTTTGTTATTATAGACCCCTGTATCAATTTATACTTACGTTGAGACCAGGTGGCTCCGCAATCGGAACGAGCGGCTTCGCTATCAAAACCTCGTGGGACACTCGAATGTTGGTTGGTTTTAGGGTCGGGGTGTCGCGACCCCATCATCCCTACACAGGCTGTTAAAATGAGTACCACTTTTTTCGACGGTGGTTGCCCAATGGGGTGGACTTGCCCCTGCTGTAAAAATGTGTAATTCTTCACCGGGCTCAGGACTTGATGCGCATTTGCGCGGGGAAATCAATCTCGTTGACTTTTTAAAAATTGTATTTCAATTTTTGTAACTAATGTTAGTTTGAGGTTATCAATTGCATGTTGGTGAACTAAAAACAAACACGTGAACAACTTCCATTGTATTTTAAGAATTCACCAACAGCTGAGCGCCATTTCCCATTGGTCACACCGCGCTGATGAGACTCAGGGAAGTCAAAACGAGTCCAGGCCTTGCTGCATGCTGCAAGTTATTTTGTGAAGCCAGTCCGCTGTGCTCCCCCTTCGTGTATGTAAGCTCGCTTTTGTAACGCCTTCTCGCTTGTTTGTAGGTGGTTTTTCTCCCCGTTGGTTTTATAACTGCTTCTCTTGTAAAATGCTTTATAATTTTGAAACGAGTGTAATAAACGATGATGCTGTTGATTAACCGAGATGTTACCATGCGTTGTTTTCAGCGGGTGGCGAGACAGACCCGGCGCGCGTTTCATTCCGTCGTCGTGATGTCGACGGCGATCGTGACCATTTCAGATTCCCCAGCACCGCATGCCGCAAGGGTTTGGGTTACTTTCTGAGTTTTTGTCCTGGTCCTCCTGTTTCCCTCCCATAGCTCAAGCAAAACATCTGTACGATGTAACTGGTATTGTCCAAAACATCCAAATGCTGAAGAATTACCCAGCAAATTTCTCAGTTAGGATCGTTTGAAGCAGCAGCAACAAAGCCCCCGATCTCACGAGAGCTTTGGCGCAGGACCCTCTTTGAAATAGTCGGTAATCTTTTGAATTTGCCAAACTACGACCATGAGGCCGTCGCACAATGGCCTCTACTCGTTTAGAATGACATCTCGCGGAATCTTTGATGCGTCCACTAAGCGAAGCGTTTTTCACGACAGTAAAGCGCCCGACAAGAATAACAACAACCAGGGGGGGCGTCCCACTGGTTTACAAACTGCGGGTTTCTGCAACAAGTGGCAAACGCGCCATCGCCGAGCCACGTCCACAGGTCACGGGTTTCGGGCGCCCATGCATTTCTCGCTTGTGCCGCAGACACGCTGGTGGTGCAGGAGAAGGAGGAGGGCGCGTGGGAGCACGGCGAGCGGAGCGGCGAGGGCATGTGGGACGGTAAACAGCACCACGCAGTAATACGTCTCTCGTCATCTCTTGTTACCATCTGAACGGTCACACACGGCGCGCACAATGTTGCGACACGCCTGTCTCCACTTCTAGACGTGATTGGGTAGAATTGGCTGCGCTGGGTGGGACGTGCACGTTGGGGGCGGAGGGTCAATGGCCGAGACAGGCACTGACACGGTCTCCACAAATTCTGCGGCAAAGGAAAAGGCCAAAGAGCGAGCAGATGGTGGGAGACTATCAAGGAAGATCTATGGGTTTCTGTGAGCCTACAGCTTCCTGTATGATGCTGGCGGTCTCTGTGCATCTTTGTGCGAGTCTTAAGAGCAGATTGTGGGAGACCGTGAGGGCAGATCTGGGAGAAAACGTTTGTAGCGAGGACTGGTGGTGGCATCGTCAGCTTTGGCCACGGGTGACGCCTTGATCCGTTTGTCCGTCTTTCCGCTTCCCTGGCACTAGATTTGACGGTCGACGCTGAGCAAAAGCACGTGGCAAATCCGCCTCCGCGGAACTCGGCCAAGCAGCGCGACCGGAGCTGGACACCGGCAACGGATGCGGCACGTTACCGTCGCGTCGCAGTGGCGGCACCGCCAATTTCCTACCGTGCAACTGGCTGCGGCAATAGCGCCGCCGCCGGCGCCGCCGCCGCCACCACCAACGACGATGACGACAACGACGACGACAACGACGACAATAACCACAACGAAAACCTGGACGACGAGCAGGGCTTTGCCGACGACTACGGGGAGGACGAGGACGACGAGGCGATGGGTGGGGGATTGGCGGCGGGGCAGTTCGCTTGCGCCGAATTGGCCGTGCCCGGCGAAGGCGGCGGCGGCGGCGAGTGGGGCGGTGTCGGCGGCGGCGGCGGGAGGGAGAGGCGGTACCGCTGCCACGTGTGCGGGAAGCGCTTCCTGAAGGGCCGCGACGTGACGCGCCACATGCGCACGCACACGGGCGAGAAGCCTTACGCGTGCGAGGCATGCGGAGTCCGCTTCACACAGTCCTACAGCCTGACGCGGCACTTGCGTCGCCTCCACACCGCACGGCCCCTGCCGCCGCCGCCACCGCACGACCCACGCCGCCCTCTCTCCCTGCCCCGAGCGGCCGATGTCTCCTGAACCGTGCCACCTGCGGAACCCTGCCACTTTCCTCCTGCTCCCTGGGACCTCCATTGCCAGTATCAAAATATAAGAAGAGCTTTTACCCCAAACTGAAACCTTTCGCAAGGAATCATGTCGACATTGACCACGTATACTTGCGGTGAACATGCAAACAAAAACAACATGCTCTGATAGTATCTGCATTGTCTTTCAAACTGATTGGTCCACAACAGAGACGTCTTTCTTTAGAACCTCGTCTCAAGCAGTGTTAGATCAGAGGACGACACCAAAATGAGAACAGCACAACGACAATGCCACTATCAGGGCATTGAGAGCTCGGGGTCAGCAGTTTGCATGTTCACCACAAGTATATTTGGTCAATGCTGACATAATTCTTTGCAAGATGTTTCAGTTTGGTGTTTTAACATCTTAACACAGCTGTTTTATTGCTAGACAGGGTGAAACTTATTCTTATATTGCCCCTTGCTACCGCCTGTCATCCCGAATGCCAGTGTTGCCAACTCAAACCACGGGAATACAGGTAGTCCCCGAGTTACGATGGTCCGACTAACGATATTTCGATCTGGCGATAGCAATATAACAAAATTGTCATATTTTACATTTCGCGCGGCAGGCAATCGCAGCAGTGTACGCGGTACGATACTGAGACTTTATAATTGCCATCCTCTTTCAACAACTAAGTTAATGTAGCCATCAACAACCTAACATCTTTCAAGTGTGCAGACGACGGACAGAATCTTGGTGAGTATAGTACAATACGATACGTTACGATACGTTCAATGCATGCATGATAAGTAGCTTTAGCGATTTCATTTTAGGGTTACCATGATACGATACATACGTTCAATGCATGTTAAACGTTTTTATAGCAGATAGGATTGTTTCCTGAAAAAACTTTCTATTAAATTGCAGTTCATATAGGTAGGCTAAGAATTTACCTTGTTTTTTACTTTAAATCGTACTGTGCAATACAGTATTGTAATTAATAAATACATACAGTATATAGTTTATACAGTACGGTGCTGTAAATTGCTCTGTTTTGCTTAATTATCACCATTCTTTAAGACTCCTGGGTAGGCTAGGCCATCTTCGACTTACGATATTTTCGACTTACGATGGGGTCGTCGTAACGCATCTCCATCGTAAGTAGAGGGAGTACCTGTATACCGGATGTTGATCGATGCGATGTCTAAATTCGCCGAAACTATCGCGTTGATTTAGCGAGCATTGAATGTAGCGAGCTGATACAGGGTCCCCTGAATGCACCCACACCCATAATTGCATATACATTTGAATTATGTCCTCGTCTGGAATGTGACCAGATTGTTTGCCAGTCACTTTAGCAAAAGGTGTTACTAGGCATGTGGCCATGTATTGCGCGGAAGTTAAACATTATTTCTTGCTCAAATGAGCAAGTGCTCTTCTGTTTATCGCCTCGCAGAGCCAATGATGGAAATTCCACATCCCATGGTGGGTGGCGAATCAATCTAAAGGACAGACAATGTTGACTTCCTCAGAAGGTGGTACTTGTTTCGTCAACCTGGTCTGAGTCGACACCAGTGATCAAGATCTGAACTCACAACTTTCCAATCGTGGACTGCTTGCTCAGCCGCTGAGCCACCTGGCTGAATCACAAAATAAACTCGCAGATGAGCCTGAATATGCGCCTGAAATCGGCATAACACAAATAATGATTGTCGTTGTGGAGATAATATAAGCAGCAAAATCAACAAGTACACCATGCGCTCCTTTCCCACACATCTCAGATCAGATATGGGGGGCATTGTCCTGCGCAGCCCATGGTCGCGTTCATCCTCTGCTCAGCTCACGGCAAGGTCCCTTGCCAGCCCCCACCCTGGAGGTGACGGTTCAACCCGCTGCAGCCACGAGGAAACTCGACTCCCCGCCGGAGAGGGACTCGAGGCGGATCCTGAGGGTCTCCACGCTCAGGAGATGGCGATCAGTGTTGAGGAAAACCACGTCCCTGGAGACGATGCAGTCAATGCAGGAGCTTCCAGCCCACGAAAGCATGATCGCTCGCCCACCTCCGCATTGGCTGGCGTCGGAGGTCCAAGTCCAGCGATGCAGGCCAGGAAGCCGTCGGAATCGTGAACCAGCAATTCTCAGCCACTCGGACGTTGCAAAGTTAAAGAGCGAGGATTCTTTGCGAAACTTCGTAAGCCATGTGGACCAATACACACTTCTAATCCGAATGTTGAACTTCTTTTGCACCGTCCGTAGCCAACCTTGCTAATCGGAGGTGCAGGGAAAAGAACAATGGACCTCAGGCCACTTTCACCTTTAGTCTGCCCAATTCTCTTGATAGGAGAGGTAAGGTATCATATTCTACCAGAGTTGGGACGTTCCAGGAACAGAATCTTATGATTTTACGAAGGTTCACATCAGCCTGGCACCTTTGGGGTGACGACCCCTCAGCTCTCCCTCGACGTAAAATACAATATTTTTTTACACATCCAATCGGCCACACACCCTTTTTGGATGTGCATATTTCGGCAACATTGATTTAAACACAAGGGAACTCGGGACCATTTTTGAAATTTATTGTCTCATCAGCAGATACGGGTTTGCTTGAAGCAAGGACCCTCTTCGATATACCAAAATACAAAGTCGCTCAAATCTAGCGACTAAATGGTTGAGTTGGCAGCACTAAGTACACTCAGCCAGGCGTTTGTTCGATGCTGTCTGCCGTTGAATTTGATTAAAATTGGCGAACCAATATGTGACTGGTACCGCGGGAGTTCCAGCAGCTCGGTCTACACTTTGAGCGAGATAAATTTGCAGTCTGTGCCATCATCGTTAGCCATATATCCACTGCTCGATGAAGGCCTCTGCAAACCACCGCTATCTCGTGGGTGTCGCATTGCAACTATTTTTCTATGGGGGCCATAATCACATGCTGAATAGAGTCTACAGAATGTAGGGTTTTGCTTGTCAGTGCTTACGATATTTGGGCTCTGGGCTCAGTCTGACGTACTATATTATCAGTTTTATCAGCCATGATCTGCTGCTGGATGAAGGATTCTACACAACCGTCGCTGCCTGTCACGGGTCTTGCGACGGAACGATCCATCCTGCGCAAGAGCCAAGTTGATCACTCCGTCTCTGAGATGTACGTCCTCTCAGACACGTCGTTCCCTGCTGTGGTTGGCACTGTTATGATCGACCACTGACCGGCAGTCATCCCGACTTCGCAACTTGACCATCCCAAGCCCCATTAATATCTTGGGAGTTAGAACTTTGAACATGGCTAGCATTGGTTGCAAGTGATAGCTGAACCAGCCGTTGAAACCCACCTGCACTGACCAGCGTGGTAAAGTATGATGAAGTGACCCCGATGACTGAATGCATGCAGAGGCTTTCATCCAGCAGTGGATATTCGGAGGAATGCGGAACCGCGGAAGATGCCGAGATGATTTCCCTGGTCTCTGGCCGAACACGGTTATTCTTCAGTTTCTTTGTAATTCCCGCAACTGCTATCGGAATCGTGTTGTGAGATGAAGAAATCTTTCAGCTGGCAGTGCAACCATCAAGTATAAGAGCGGACCCTGTAAGATAACTTCACGGAACTACTTCTGAAGTCGCGTCAATCGGCCTCTTCATCCACACCAGTGGCACATGTTGTAGTGTCCTGCAAACTTTTTGTATTTCAAATATTTTTTTATTTGTGCAGTCTGTGGTGACCGTGCTGCTGAAAATGTCGAACCCAGGATCTCATTGGTGACAGCTCAGCACCTCTGACCTCTGTGTCACACGACCGCCGCATGTATTTTTACAGGACCATGCTTTTTTTTTTATAAATTTTTCTTGCTGTAAATATTCTACCCTGTTCCATAAGAGCTGTACATTTTTGGATGGTTAATGAAAATGGTTTGAATCCTTATTGTAAGTTTTTTTTTACCATTATAGCCATTTCGTAAACGCTTTATGATGGCAACCTTTAGTGATCTTGCTAATTTCAAGCGCGACCTTGTATAAATGCCCACACATGTTCGTCGGCGTTAAACCGCATGCCGTATTTTAAACAAATTATGTCCTGCAGCTTTTGTATGTATGTTGGACTTCTTTCTCACCGTACGCAGCCACAACCGTGCTAAGCGGAGGTGCAGTCGGAAGAATCGCGTTCGCTAAAATCATTTTTCGACCACTTGGTTTTCCTGTGTAAAAGCGCTTTACACTAACTTGAAATAAAAGAGCTTTTGTCTGTATGCAAGACCAACAGGGTTGATTTGGTGCGCGAGTGCTATTATTGTTGCTTGTCAACCCATTGTTCTTGTCGTAACTTTGAGCTTAAATTTCGATTTGAAGCTTTCGTGACTGCAGGGATTCATCTTCTTGGTTCTTTCGGTAAAGTCACGTAGAATGTAAATAATAAAATAATAATAAGTATAACCCGTAAAAACAAAGTTTTTCACTATAAATCCTTTATATGCGTGGCGGCTCGAGTCCTCTGGCTTGAGATGGCTGCCACCTATGGGTCAGATGATTGTCTGCCAGTATTAAGCAATTGGTAATTAAATATTTAATTTGTTTTCCCTAAACAGTGTAAAATTTTGGAGAAAAAAAATTCACGAACATTAATTGTCTCGCACAACGAGTCTGTGTGCAAAATGTCAGCTCGATTGGATCACGGGAAGTGGGTTAAAAAACGACCGAAAGATTTGCACGGTCGTAAGCAAGCAAGCACGCAAGCAAGCAAGCGAACTTAATATAAAGTATTTAAAAATAAAACAAACTAATTCTCACGACGTTTCGGCCACAACGAAGGACGGCTGCTTGCGTTGTGGCCGAAACGTGAGAATTATTTAATGTTAGATTTTTATTATTTTATTATTTCCATTCTACGTGAGTTTACCGAAAGAACCAAGAAGATGAACTTTGAGCTTATACGTATTTCCTTCCCTGGATGCTGCCATGGTGGTCAGCGCACTGAACTTGCAATCCAGAGGGCACCGGTTCGATTCCATCTCACGGCGCTGGGAGTTGAAACAATGGGGCAACGTTTCATCACCCCACCCCCCCACGCTCCGCCTCTGTCCACCCAGCAGTGTCGATGATTTCACCACAATTCGTGGATGGACAGGTCACGTGTGGTGGGGTTAAGTGTGGGTACTCCCACTTCTCTCAAAACGTCTGACCAGTGTGAAAAAAATATGCCAATGCTCTTTTAGAGCCGGCTAAAATATCTACATTATTAAGCATTAGATTTTACATTCTATAAACTGTAAACGTTTTTATTTTAGCAGGTCAGGCCCACTGAGTTATTTATCTCTTTTTCAGCAGCAACCTGGCCGCAAATGATAGCCAAACGAAGTGACTTTATCGTGTGTAAATGTATAGCGGTCAAATACAGTAAGTGCATGTTGATTCTAAATGTGGAGGGAAAAACTAGAGGACCCGGAGAAAAATCCACGCCAACTCCCAAATATACAGCAGGCATCAGGGTCGGGGTCAAACCCACGGACCTCCTGTAAACCAGGCGAGGTAGTTAACATCTCGCCACCGCGGCGTCTGTAATATGTCAGTCGCATGACATGACGCCTATAAACACATTCCTACGGAGGGAGCTGGTAGGAACGTTGGGTTGCTCGGTCAATGGCCAGGGTCAACGGCGGCGTGGTGTATTCCGCAAATATGCCCGACTGTGAGGGCGGGCACAAGCCGGCGTGAGTAGGTTAAACGTTGAGTTTTATAAGGGCACCACGGGGTGACCAGCCCCTCCCCACCCAGCCCATTTTTAAATCCTTTATATTAAGTTCGCTTGCTTGCTTGCGTGCTTGCTTACGACCGTGCAAATCTTTCGGTCGTTTTTTAACCCACTTCCCGTGATCCAATCGAGCTGACATTTTGCACACAGACTCGTTGTGCGAGACAATTAATGTTCGTGAATTTTTTTTCTCCAAACTTTTACACTGTTTAGGGAAAACAAATTAAATATTTAATTACCAATTGCTTAATACTGCAGACAATCATCTGACCCATAGGTGGCAGCCATCTCAAGCCAGAGGACTCTAGCCGCCACGCATATAAAGGATTTATAGTGAAAAACTTTGTTTTTACGGGTTATACTTATTTGAATCACGACGGACGGACACAATAATCCCCTGTGGGCTGGTGCAACCAGTAGGTTCCTACCAGTACTAATATTACGCCTATGAACTATACAGGCGTTGGGGTCGGGATCGAACCCACAACCTCCTGTACATACCTGTCAACCCATTCGGTTTAGCCCTATCCACATACAGGGGGAGGGGCGGGGGAGGGGCGAGGGTCAACCTTTGACCCGGTGACGTCACGGCTGCCCGTCCGCCCTCTTGTCTCGCCGTGGCGTGCGCGCCTCGGTCTCCACTCACCTCATATTCTCTCTCTCTCCTCTCTCTCCTCTCGCTGCCGTCCAAGGGCAAGTCGCTAGCGACTCAACCGAGGAGGAGTAGGAGGAGGGTAGTCACTCTTTGAGTTGCCTCGGGTGCCTGCAAGTGATCGTGGGAGTTTCGGCCGCGAGGGGGGTAAGAAGCCTTCGGCCTACGCCATTCTGCCACCGCGGGCTTGCCCCACACACACACACACTCCTACACCCACACAGCTGTTAGTTAGTTTGCCTCGTGTGTTGCTTTTAAATCTGTTGCGAATTGATTTGTTCGTTACAAAACAACGCGTTTGTGTGTACTTGAGTGGCACGCGCGCGTTTTGCGAGCGCCTGCCTACGGAGGGTTTAGTTCGCCGTGCGAACACGAAGTGGATTGTTGGCTCAAGTTGCATGCAATTTAACGCCGTCTGTGTGGTCTCCTTGTGCCACAATGATGATTCTGCTGCTAGCACGGCACAACGCGGAGCTCTCGACGAGTTCGTTTGTTAACAATGTGGCCATCGGAGGAGGCAACGGGCGACGTTTCGGGCAATGGCCCTTGGCCGCTGAGTGGTTGATGCCTTTGCTGTGAATGAGGGCCGCGTTGTTGTTGTTGTTGGTGGTGGTTGTTGTTGTTGCAACAGTCGCGGTGTGATTCTGTGTTTGTGTTGTCGAGAAAGCTCTGCAAGCAATTATCACCGCAAGTCCACTCTCTCCCCAAATGTGCAATATGTTTTTTGCCCACCAATTGTTCAAAGACGGCGTAACCTCCCTGTAGGAAGCACTTGCGTTTACTTAACACGTTAAACTCGTACTCTTAGTTCTTTCGGTAAAGTCACGTAGGTAAAAAATGAAATACAAATTAATAAAATAATAAAAATCACGACGTTTCAGAGGCAACACAAGTCTCCGTCATCAGATGAAGCAAATCTGGCTGTGACGGTCCCACCTGATGACGGAGACTTGTGTTGCCTCCGAAACGTCGTGATTTTTATTGTTTTATTTTTATTAATTTTAATTTAATTTTTTACCTACGTGACTTTACCGAAATAACTAAGAGTATGAATCCTTGCAGTCACGAAAGCTTCAAATCTAGAATGTTAAACTCGCTTTTAAATTGCCTTCTGCAGATTCCTCTACATTGCGTGCAAGGTTCAGGAATATAAAACGGAATATATAAGTATTTGAAAGTCCCTTTGAGCCCAACGTTTCTTGATGTCATTCCAAGTCCTATTTCAATAATAATTAGGATATTTCCGCTAATTGGATTATGCTGATGATTGTTACTCATGAAGCAATGTGCCAGCAACGTGTTTTTAAAAAAATATAAATTGGCTTGTGTAGTGACCCATGTTCTATTATTGTGGCTTTTATCTGTTATTCAATAGCTACTCATAAGTAACTTCATATGCCAATTTAATAACTGGCCATCAGAAAAGTAAAAAAAAATGTAAGTCTTCTAAGGCCCCATGGTGTAAAGTGTATTCACCAACTCTCTGTCCACAGTGATATTGATGAATGTGTTGCGTTTTCTGTTTTTAGTCAACTAAGTTGACTATTTCCCCCAAAACGGAACAGTGTTTATTTAGCAGAGATTACTGACTTAGTGTGCTGTGATCTACATATTTTTTATAGTAGCGTCCTCACTGTAATTGTAACGTTGTTGTGGACAATTTAAGTAACAAAATAAGTAATTGGGCCGTTCTCATTTCAAATTCCTACACGGGGCACTTCATGACCAACCTGAGGAGGGCCAAGCTTGGTGCAGCCTCATCTCCGTCTGGCTGAGCTCTGTGAACATCTATCGGGGGTTTGCCATAAGATGAACGATACATCTGTGAATACCAGTGTGGAAACTACCCGAAGAGAAGTGGGGCTGACCCAAGAACGGAGGAGCGCTTTGTGAAGGACTTTTAATATAGCGGCCAAGAAAACTATATTGAGTACGTGGAAAAATCACGAACCCACCTCCCACCCACCTATACTCAATGGCTGAATTCATTAGGCCCGATCTCGGGCCTGTAGCATCTGAGCTATAAGCTTTAGAGACAAGGAAGAATAATACACATGAACATGATGTCCATTTCTAAACCTTAGACCAGTCTTAAACACCTCAACCCAGAACAACAACGAGCGGCCAACCCCAAATCCCCCGAAGAAAAACCCATTAACCCCCTCCCCCCGTGTGGGGACTGATGCCTGATATTGCTAATGGCCTTGGAACGACCGCCTAGAACGTCAAAATGTTGACCTATATCAGTCAAATGTATGATGTGAGGCAGGGATATGGAATACAAATATTTCATAAAAAGTTGCAATTTTTGGAATAAGCACCACCATTTCTCTCCACACTGTGGGCAGCGCTATCTGGGCGAGCGATGGCGGCGTGCGCGGTGGAGGCAAACCCGCGCGGGGACTTCCCGGCGTGGCTGGCGGCGCGCGGCATGAAGCCCACGTTCGCCGACGCCATGGAGCGCGAGCTGGGCATCAGCGACTACGAGGAGCTGCTGGCGTGCGCCGAGGACGCGCAGGTGACGGCCGAGCTGCTGGGCGCCGCCCGCGACCGCCTGCCCTTCGCCTTCTACGCCGTGCTGCGCCGACTCGTGCTGGCGCTGGCGCCGACGCGGCGGCGAGGGCGTCGCCGGCGGGGGACGACCCCGGGCGACAGCGACGGCGAGGGAGAGGAGCGGCGAGGGTCCTTGGACGAAGACGACGAGGAGGCGGGGGCGTGCGGTCCCCGCTGCGAGGGGGCGCTGGCGAGCCGCGCCGTTCTCGGCAGCCTCCTGGACGCCATCGTGGCCACGCTGAGCTCGCTGAGCCGCGAGCTGCTCCAGTCGGCGCAGCGGTTCCGCTGCCTGGAGCCGGCGCTCGGAGCGATCGGCGTGGAGGCCGTCGAGGGGCCGGCGGCTCCCTCGGTGGTGGAAGGGGGAGAGCAGGACAGCGAGCCGGTGGAGACTTACCAATCGGTGGAGGAGCAGGGAGGATGGGCCGAGATGAGCACCGATAACATCAAGCAGGAGTCGGGTACGAGGTCCCGTGGCGCTCGCGGTTTAGTGGGTAATGCGGAGCCCGTGGGATAATCGATAGAGCTGGGCTCGCCGATTGTGTAAGTAATTGGTCGACTGCCGATTATTTACACAAAAATTATCAGGCGAATAAGGTTTGCCTTCTGTTCTATCGCGTGCCGCTACATAAAAGGTGATGGGTGGGGCTTGCTTACGTCATCATCAACCGCAGGGAGGCAGCAGGATGTGTGGGTGGCCACCACTTCTCAAAGAGACCCCGTGGATCGAGCACAAAAGATGTGTTTATTGCAATGTTTTGTTTATGAATAGTTTGCGCGTTCGCGGCTTTACGATCATAGAGCTGCCTTTATAGACGTCTCCCGAGTGCTTTACACTCGATAAGCAACTTGTATGGCATCTCATCTCAACACGTTTAAAAGGGCATCCCTAGTGGCAAATGCGCTTGTGGGCACAATGTGGCTCGGCACCTTCGTCTGCCACGGGTGTACCAGTGACCGGCGCCTGTTATCACAATCGAGTAATTTTCCGGTAATTATTTTTTTCTTGTCAAATTCGGACCCTGACACCGGCAAAACAACAGCCTCAACATTTTGTATGACGTCACGGGATCTTTAACGTTGACCGCGAGCGAAGCAGGCGGCGCGTATCGTTTTATTGTAGACACACTCCGCGGTAATAACCCCAGGGCAGCCCGCCGGTTTCGAAACAACGAAGCTCCGTAAAACAAGCGGGTAAAAATCAAGCGGGCTGCGTCGCCGCCGCCGCCGCGTGCAACGGCACCAGCACCACGAAGCAGGGCGCGCTAACGAGTCGCTCGTTCGCTTTGATCGGGCAGAGGGAGGAGCGGACGCCAAGTGCGATCTCAAGGGGTCGCAGGCCGGGGAGCAGGTCGGCGAGTGGGACCCAGCCGACTGCTACGAGGAGGAGACGGCGCACGGATGGGCCAGCCTCAAAGCCGAGCAGGACACGGCCTGCGGTGGTGAGGAGTGCGGCCCCCTGTGAATAGAGGACATCACCATCGTCGTCACCATTATAAGCGTTGTGGAAAATACGAGTAGCAGAGTAATTAAGCAGACGGTGTGCCTCTTTCACCGTGCCTATGAACAACTGGCTGTTCACCAGTAATGGTTCAAGCGAGCTTGACGCTGCCGATGACACCCTGTATTTCGAAACCGCTCCAGCGTTTGCCTGCGTTGAAGCAACACAAGCTGTTGATACGTATGCATAGAGGGATCAGTAGGTCCAGGCTGTCTCGTTATGTGTAGTTGGCCAGACATACCAACGTAGGGCCACAGAGCTTGGGAAACGGTTGCCGCCAGTTCTAGCTGCCTTCCCACCACTTGTCTGTAAATGTGGTTGCTGCGGTGGTTGTCGTGATTGTTGTTGTTGCGGCTGTTGTGTTGCGGTGCAGGCGAGATGACCGACATGGAGTCTGGTGCTGAGCCTGCCATACTCATGGACTCGGTGGCCACTGGTACAGCGCATGAGCATGACCACTGCGGTTGAGCGTCGTCGTCATCGTGGTTGTTGTGAAGTTATTCAAACAAATCAAGCACGGACGCGCCCGATATTGTCACAGATCAGAAGCTGGTGGGGCTGATCCTGGGTTGTGCTTGAATGCATGGCTGCTTGGGAACGCCGACTGTTGTCGGCTTAGGTTGCCAAGTGGCCAGGAGAGGGCAGTTCAGCAGTGAATTTTTGATTCTATGTCTATGAAGCTGTTGTGAGTCTTACCTCCTCAAGCGTAGCTTTTATTTACGTTTGATTCATGTTTATTTTGTGCGATCATTAATAGTTGATACTGTTAGGTAAAAAAAGGTGTCAGTTTTGCCAGATAGAAGGGTAAAAAACCAATTATCATATTTTTTACTGGCAAATGAGGCTCCAATGGTGTAAGTCTGCCTCGGCTGACGAGACGCAAAAGTCCTCGTCGCTGATGGGATATGTAAAAAATATATACTTTTATGTTTTTACGTGGAGGAATCAACGTGTGAAGGCGTCACGTTGACTGATGCTTTGTGGATCTATGGATCGTTGCACACACAGTGATTGCTAATGAGATGCAATTTCCGCGTGTGATTGACAAGGTGAGAACTGCTACGAGTACCAGGAGGGGCAGCTCCACACCGAAAATCCCGACTTCGACCGTAACCACTTCGCCGCCGCCGCCGTCGACGCCGCCTCCGTTGGCCATCACCAGCAGGCCGGCACGGCGGCGGCGGTGGGGCCCGGTCGTCCTATCCGGCCCCACCAGCACCAACATTATGGCACCCCGGCAGGACCGGCAAGAGAACCCAAAACCCGCGATGGCTCCGCTTGGAACGGCGCCACGATCATCACCCGGCTGCAGAAGCACGAGCAAGCGGCGACGGGCGCCTCGCAGGAATCGCCGTTTCCACCGACGGGATCCGGCTACCGGATCACCGTGGCGCAGCCGGCGCGGTTCAGGAGCGCCGGTCGGCGCGGCAGCGACGGAAACGGCGGCATCGGTCCGTCCGCCTCGCCGGCCGGGCCGGCCCCGCCCCGGCCGTTCTGCTGCGAGGTTTGCGGCAAGAGCTTCCTGCAGCAGGGCTCCCTGCAGATCCACCGGCGTCGGCACACGGGCGAGCGTCCGTACGCCTGTGCCGACTGCGGCCGCCGCTTCTCGGTGTTTTGCAACCTGACACGGCACCGCAAGACGCACACGGGCGAGAAACCGTACGCCTGCCACGCTTGCGGCAAGGGCTTCATCCAGCTCATACACCTCAACAAGCACCGCTGCAGCTGCGTGCTCATCTCCTGACGCAACGTCGCCGCCGCCTCGTCCACACCATTACACGCCACGCGGGTGTTGCGTAGGTTTCACAGGAGTAGTTGAAGTAGGAATGGTTCACGTGTGATTTTTTTTTGGGTTAGGCCCCACCGAATTAGCTGACAGTGGCAGTATCGCGACGAACCTTCCACCACTGGACGCATTAAGTTGTCGCGCGTGCCGGCTTTCGACAACGTGCCGATCGCTGTTGTTTCACCTTGCCAGTGAGTTCCCAGAGCAATCCTCACAGCCAAATTTAGCGATTAGAAACGCGAGGTTTTGCTTGAAACTGCGTCAAACATCATCAGGACAGGGTCCAGGAAATCTTGAGTCACAATCCAGGAAGTCGGGATCACTGTGGCATGCTTCCTTAAACGTGTGTCGCATCAAAACTACGTGTTTAAGCGAGTAGGGATGATGATGATGGTGATCGTGATGATTGATGTTGCTGTTGTGCTGAGTGTGATGGGTCGCAACAGCGACAAAAAAAATCAGTCGTATGAATAATGATATTGTGATGATGATGATTGTCACGTGATACTGCCGAGCGTGGCGGGAGATCACATTACGGTCATTACGACAGCAAACGCTCGTGGTTTTCGTACAGTGACCACGTGGGTTCTTGTTGTTGTAGTTGCAGTCGTGGTGACAATGCCGATGAACCAGTGTATACCTCTCGTCGCCGTGGCTGTGACTTCTGCTAGCCCACCCACTACGGTCTTGCCAGCGACTCGGAAAGTATTTCCGCACTCGGCACACCACATCCAGTATACCTCTGGTCGCTACGGTTGTGACTCGCAGTCACGCGCCACCTACTCATTCGGTCTTGCGAGTGACCGAGACAATACTGAGTGAGATGCTAAGCCCCGGGTGATTGGCGGTAGCGAGTCCGGGCTGTAGCGTAACTGTTCGTACCTGCGATTCGTTATTTTGAGTCTTGGGTATGAGGCCATGTAATGATGTTGCCAGACCGGACGCAGAAAGACCTCTTCATAATTCTGGTAAAACCGCCTGAAGATGGTTTTAGTAGCCTGCGAAACATACTGAAATTATATTCTTAGGTTTTTTCGGTAAAGTCACGTAGGTAAAACATTAAAATTAATGAAAGTAAAATAAAATAAAAATCACGACGTTTCGGAGGCAACACAAGTCTCCGTCATCAGGTGGGACCGTCACAGCCAGATTTGCTGCATCAAGTGAGGCAATGATTCAAGATGTAATCCCTTAAAAGCAAGTTGAGGGGGGAGGAGAGGGGGGGGGGATCTCATCAGAATGTGGTAGCCAATGAATGGAACGTATCGGGAAATGTGGGTTTGTGCTCCCATCACACCGATGTGCTGAAGTAGGCAAGTTTTAGTCACGTGACAAACCTTACTGATTGTCAGGTGCTGGTGGGTTAACGACACATTTACGCGATCTAACCCAAACACCTTTATTACCTTCGATAAGCACCCCGAAATGTCTGTCCGTCCCGCCCGTGACGTCGCTGCAAAAGAGCCCCCCCTCCCCCCAACCTCATTAATGTTCATGCCCGCGTGGAAATTTACACTAACGCACAAGGTCGCGCACTCCACATGCCGCACCCCCCCCCCCCCCCCTCATTAATAAGCATGAGCTGAACAATTTTTCTATTGAATATTTTAGATTTACTGCAATATACACCCGTCCTTGTGCAAAAAAGTTAGTTATTCATATCCAGAAAGTCGGAATAAAATACAGGTGACGGTTGAATTTGCTTGGACAGGTCAGTGGTGGAGGGTCTTGTGAAAGCTATTTGGCCAAATCATTTAATTGACCCAACCCAAGAATCAATTAGGAATCGCATTGACTGCAATATCCTACGTGTTAAGTTATGTACAGTAAGTACGTGTGTTATGTATTTTTTTTTTATTCGGAATAAAAGCAATTTTATAACGCGCACAATATTTCACGGACGTAAATGGCCGTGACTCCCAGTAGGCTCGGAGCCGACGGGCGTGTCGCCTTCTCGGCGTCTCTCGGAGTTGCTGCGGAGTTGACGCCGCCGCCGCTGCTACCGCAGAGGTCGCAAACGGGTTTTTATTCCTTACCCGTACCCGGCCGCACCAGGGTCGCAAACGGGTACCCGTACCCGGCCGTACCCTACCCGTACCCGGACGGGTATTGGGTACGTGATTGCGACCTCTGGGATGAAGCCATGTTGCAGGTGCGGGTGGGTTGATTCTAGGAACTTGAATTGTGAGAAGAGACAAGACGTTGGGCAATGAGTGACAAACGGTTACTTACCAGTGATTCACGGTCTACCCGTACCCGGCCGGGTAGCCGGGTATCGGGTAGGGTACGGTTATCGGGTACCCGGTTGCGACCTCTGTGCTACCGTGACCGTGCGGTAGCAGCAGCACCGGCGGCGTACGATGGCCGCGTTCCACACGGCTGGGGGCTGCCACGTAGGAGAACGATCGTCCTGGTCCTCGGGTGTGAAGAGCGAGGCGGAGGTTGCAAGTCGGACGGCAGGGGACTTCGTAGCCGCCGGCCCTGCTAGCGATGTCGGGAAGCCAGTGGAGGCATCGGTGACGAGTGGACTCCTGGGGTGGTAGATGGCGGCATCTGACGGTGCCGTTGGCGTAGCTGTCAAAGGACAAGGTGGAGCCGATAAGTAACGCCGAAGGACTTGATGTGGTCGGAGGAACGGAGAGCGGAGCCAGCAATTGTTAGTGCGCTAGAAGGGAGCGTGGACGTGTAGGTCGTGAACAGCGCCGGGCAGCCGAGGATTGAACCACGAGAGGGGACTGGCGCGTGAGAGCTTTGCCTCTGCAGATTAAGGCTCCACACACCGAGAGACATCGGGGGAGTTGTGGGCCTCGGCGTGAGAGGGGTCAGGGTGAAGCCTGCGGCGATGTGGCAAAGTTTGTTGGTGACGTCCGTGCCCAAGGAGGTTGCGAGCTTCAGCGGTGCGCGTGTGTGGGGTGGGGGGGTGGAAGTCATCGTTGCTGATTCACGGTAATCGGAGTAGTTAGCGGTCGTCGTCGAAGCGACAGACTATAAATACAGCTGTGTCCTACCAAATCCACTTGCAGGTTCGTGCTGGAACGTCCGGAAAGGATTTTTTCGCAGCCTTTGCTCACCTCGCGCCCACGCCGTGAACGCGCCACTGTCGCGGTTCGGCTCCGCGAGGTTTGCGACTCCGACCGTCGTGAGCGTACGAAGCGGACACGACACGAGAGTCTGCCGGGAGGGCGCTTGTACAAGCAACTCTTCGTTCACAATAAAGTTCTGCGAACGGTGTGTGTGTGTGTCCCCCACCCCGCTAGGCTGTCGAGCGCTTTCCATCGTGGGATCGATTTTCGTGGCCGTGTCGAGAGACGCCGCCCAGATCATGAGTTACACGAGTCGAGGCGGCCCGCTGCCTCTGTGCATTAGCCGCGTGATCTCGGCCCGGTCGTCGATGATGACACACGAATGTGTGAAACTTTCGTTTCGATTTAAAGCTTTCGTGACTGCAGGGATTCATCTTCTTGGTTCTTTCGGTAAAGTCACGTAGAAGGGAAATAATAAAATAATAAAAATAAAACATAAATAATTCTCACGACGTTTCGGCCACCACAACGCAAGCAGCCGTCCTCAGGTGGAGAACAGGTCTGTCGAGAACTCGACTCGACAGACCTGTTCTCCACCTGAGGACGGCTGCTTGCGTTGTGGCTGAAACGTCGTGAGAATTATTTTATGTTTTATTTTTATTATTTTCATTCGTTTCGTGTTTCGGGAGCGGCTGTTCTCGGAGAACACAGATAAGTTCAGCATCGCCCGAGATGTCGCCTATTGTATATACTGTACGTGCAGTATATTGATATCCCACGCGACGTTTTTGGGGAGTGCACCATATCAGAAGCATTCTCTTAGGTTTTTTTCGGTTAAGTCACGTAGGTAAAATAAATAATAGAAATAAAATAATAAATCACGACGTTTCGGAGGCAACACAAGTCTCTGTCATCAGGTGGGACCGTCACAGCTAGATTTGCTGTATCAATGAGGCAAAATTCCAAGAGACGAGTTCTTAAATACAAGTTAGGGGGGAGGGGGAGGGGCTTATCTGAATGTGGAAGCCAATGAATGGAACGTATAGTGCGTTGTCTTTGAACTGTGCGCCTTTTGGCGTCATCTGGTCGAACACCATATGAGACTAGGCTCTAAAGAAAGCTGTCTCTGGTGTAGACCAATCAGTTTCAAGGACAATGCATAAATTATCAGAGTATTGTTTTTTTTGTTAGCATTTGACTGCAAGTATTGTGGTTAATGTAAACGTGATTCCTTGCAAAAGGTGTCGGTTTTGTTGCCAAAAAAAGGGGAAAAACCCTATTAGTATGAAAGGAACGTGTTTGGGGGGGGGGGGGCGGGGCTACAAGAGAACAATCGGTGCACTTGCTGATGCAAGCAAACTGTGGGATCGGCTTCGATATTTTGTCGTCTGACCAGCGAATCGTGGGGGCTGGCGAGAAGCAATCCCGGCAGACCCGCCCGATGATCCTGTAGTGCTTGGACCCTCGCGGAGATGGGCTCCAGCGATCCGCACGACGAGATAATGCAGCGCGCGTGCCATTGTCATGCGCTCCAATGTTTATTATTTTGTCTTAATTTCTCCGCAGCGGCGCGCGAAGATTATTGTCGTACAGAAGAGGGGGGCAACGTTTCGGGCGATGGCCCTTTTGTCGAGGCGGGGAACGCAGCGGCGGGGGAGGTCCCTACATTTCAATTTTCCCCACACAGGTCACAACTGATAACATCTTTTCTGCCTGGGGGGCTGGAGGGGGATTCAATTATTGCGCGGCGGCGGCGGTGGTGGTGGTGGCTTTCCCGTGTTGAGATTGGCCATGGCGTGTAGCGATGCCCTGGGCACCTTCACGAAGCTTCATCTGCCCGCATGAATGATTTATGTGCGGCGCCGAGTGTCGTTTTAATTTCACATTCATAGAACTCCCCCGCGCCGCGTGGAATGGGGTGACCTGGGGTTGTTTGTAGAAGGAAGAGAGAGCGGGGGTGGTGGGGTGCACGTGCTTTAGAGACCAAACTACAAAGGCCGTGGCTCGGATATCAACATTTCAAAACCCACCACCCCGTTGCTCATGTCGGTTTGCGTTTCCACCCACCCCCCCTCGGCTCACGTGACGGCACTTGCCCCAACAGTCTGTTGAGGCTATACGGGGGGTCTTTGTCTTTGCGTCGAATCTGTGTGATGCTCACGAACAGGACCTTCCAACAGCCTGTGTGTTTTGTGTGTGGGGGGGGGGCAGAACGTAGTGGATAGCACTCTGCTCAACGAACCCGGCGACCCGAGTTCGATTCCCGCTCACAGCTGACACCAGTGGTCCCCCTTTAGGTCAACTCGGCCTCAAATGAGTACGTGGTGCAATGTGTAAAGATCGCAACTGGGGAGACGAAGACGGCCAGGCGTGGTGCTGGCCACCCACCCCCTCCCGAGTGTGTGTCGTGGCAATCTTCATCGATGCTCGCTAACTGCACTTGCCCCAACTGGCTGTTGAAGGCTACACGGGGATGTTTGTTGCGAGCGTGTGTGTAGTTTTTTTGAGTGGTGTCTTTGTATTTCGGTGTTTGTGTCAGTCTGTATATGTGGATGTGTCTGTGTGTTCTTTGTCTTCTGTGCATGTGGGTATATTTTTTAAAACGAATTCAAATAAGGATCCCATCCTGGGCATTTTTTTTAGATATAAAGAACTGATTTCTCCACGCGAGCCGTGTTTTGATCATCGGCACTCGATACGGAATGCTAATCTCGCCGCACGCTGCGTGTGCATGCAAACCACGCTCCCCGTACCCTGAATCCTCCATACAGAGCACGAGTCGTTCAATTCCTACACCCTGCACCCCTACACCATTCCTACACCCTCCCTCCCTACACCCTCAATCCACCTTGGCCACATTTCCGGTCTTGAGAATGAAAATATCGGTTTGACCGTCACGTGACGAACCTTGCCCTCAATCAGAGCGAGTGGCGAGCTGCTGCCCTCTACCGCGCGCGTGCGTGCGTGTGTGTGGAGCAGAGTGTCGCGTTGACGAAGGGCTCTCCGCGAGCTACCGCTCTGTGATGTCCACTTCCGCGGCCACATTCTGCCTGACGCCGATGGCGCAATCGGGATAACGTGGAGGAGAGTGACGCGCAAAAAAACACGACAACAACATTTCTGCAAAAATAATTATGACATTTTAATACCACGTAAGTTGGCAATCTTCAACAAAAAAAATAACACAAAGCGTTGACTTGTAAACGAACGTTCACCCCTTTGTAACTCTTTAACTCGCCCTGCGCTCGTGCCCGTCACGAGTGACATTCGAGTCGACAGACAACCCGAAGTGTTTTCTCGAGCCCCCCCCCCGCTTGAGTCCCACCGCTTGAGCCCCCCCCCCTCCCCCCGCTTGAGCCCCCCCGGTTTCGGGGATGCGGGCACTGCCGCTTGGAACTCGACGCTCGCCGATCCGGAACAAATCTTCGATCGAGGCCGCCCGTTCGTCGCTCCGTTCCAAACGTCTTTAGTCCGCACAACATCTCGCGTCTCCGCTCGTAGCGTTGGGCGTTGGATGCGAGTCGGCGCATGTCAAATGTGAAAGGCAGTACAGCAAGTGGGTGGGTCGGCCTGCTCGTGCGTAATACGAGCGCGCTCCCTGGGAGCTCTTCACCCACCTTCGTTCACGGAGGGAGGCCGATTGATTTATTTCAGGATCGTTTACGCGCGGGCTACCCTTAGGTCCGCTCGGCACGAAACCCGGGAGGCCGCACAAGGGACGCCTTGTGCGGAGCGGCCCGGATGAATGCGCGCGGATAAACAAGGGGGCGATTGTGCGAGCGCTGTGTCCGTGGGCGCGTTCTACGCACGGGGAGCGGTGGCGCCGCCGTCGCCGCTCGCTGCGCCACGAACCCGACGGACCCCGGTTCGAATCCCGCTTCGTGACCAACATCGGCGATGAACATCGCAACGGGCGGGCCTATGCGCTAGCCGCACCAACCACCCCCACCCCCTTGTGGGCATTACTTAATAGGTGTTCGCAAACAGCACTTGCCCCAGGAGTCGTCTACGCGAGGCACCTTTGTCGACGCGTGCGTCCGCCCTGTGTGCGCGAAGAGACGCGAGGTGGCCGCCTGTGGCTGCCCCGACGGAGTGAACGAAGCGGGTGGCGCTGCAGTGGAGTTAGTCGCTGGCCGGCCGAGTGAACCACCGAGCGCCAGAGGTCGCAACCGGGTACCCAATACCCGTACCCTACCCGATACCCGGCTACCTACGGGTACGGGTACCTGATACCCGTACCCTACCCGGCTACCCGTACCCGGCTAGGTACGGGTACGGGTGGGTACCCGTTTGCGACCCTGGTGCGGCCGGGTACGGGTCAGGAATCAAAACCCGTTTGCGAACTCTGCCGAGCGCCCAGCGCTACACGAAGCTCGCGTCCGCCCCCTCTCCCGGCCAGCGCCAGCGCCCCCCGAATCTCGGGGCCCTGCCGCCTCCACGCTCCCCTCGGCTGCCCTCGCCGCGCAGCTGCGCCGAGCCGACCACCACGCGGACGCCTCCCCCGTCCCCCCCGTGACCCCCGTGACCCTCGTGGCCCCCGTCCCCCCCGTGACCCCCGTCCCCCCCGTGGCCCCCGCGCGCCACCGGCGCTCCGGGGACTACGGGGAGCCGCGGCAGGAGGGCTCTGCTCCCTCGTCCCATCGTCTCCTCTCCCCCGTCCTCCTCCTGTAAGTCCTCCTCTTCGGCGCTGCTCGCCTCCGCGGGAGTCTCGCAAATCCTCAGCCTCGGCAGCGGGCCGTGGAAGCGCAAGGCGGAGTCGTCGGAATCGGAGCTCCCGGTGGAGCCGAGCGTCAACCCCCGATCGCCCGGCCGCTCGCCGCCGCCACCACCGCCAACATCGTCGCCGTCGTCCTGGGTCACCTCGTCACGTTGCGAGTCCACCGTCGCTGCCGTGGGTTGAGTCTCCCGCGAGTGCGGGGAGCTGTTGGGCAGATGGAGGCATCGGGGTCTGTCCCTGCAGCGATGGAGGAGGAGGCGGTGGCGATGATGAGGAGGAGTCGGTGGTCGAGGAGGTGGTGTCATCAGTTCAGGAGGCTCGGCAGAATCACGTGGGCTCGAGGCGCAAGGCTCGTCCACGCTGCTGCTGTTGATGATGCTGTTCCTGCTGATGCTGCTCTTGCTGATGATGATGCTGTTCCTGCTGGTGCTGCTGCTGCTGCTGCTGGAGGAGGAGGAAGCACACTCGTGGTTGAGGTGGAGCCTCAGGGAGCGAACCTCGTCGAGGAGCTGCGTGAAACGTTGGAACAGGTCCACGTCCATCGCTCGCACGGTCGCCTGGAGACACGGGGGGGGGGGTGGACATGGGGACAGAGGGGGGACGGGGGGGGGGGCATGAATACACGGGGGACAGGCACCAGTGGAGCGGACCATCACCGGTTGTGGTGGTGACATTTGTCCCAAAAACTACGAACCTGGCCACCTGAGTTCGACTCTCGTGTATGGCTAACATCTGTGGTGACCGTCTGGACCGGTCACATGCCTCACCTGGGTTGGGCTCAGCTGTAAACATCGCTGGGCACGCAATGCCGACCTCAATAGCTGCTCGCAAACAGCACTTGCCCCTAACCGCCTGGTAGAGCTGTACGGGTGGCCTTTATCTTTGTAGTCCGGCCATACCCCACCCCCCCCTCCGCCCCCTTACGTGTGCCACGTACCGACCTCCGACAGGTGCTCGCTAGCACAGGCCGTGTGGAGGACAAGTTGGACTCGATTGATTTCGCACGCATGCAGCATGTATTCACGGTAGGGCGCGCTGATGGATGCACGAGTTATACGCCCTCTGCACGCATCGCGGGAAAGGTCGCAGCTTACATTACCGCGTGCGATGCTTTTGCATTCGCGCGTTTACCAACAACCTGCCTGCCTGCCTCCCCCCGCCTGCCCCTCGTTTGTTTACGCGCCCATTCTCGATCCACTGCTAGGCGACGGCTCCTCCGCACGGTATTGACGATCGGGAAACTCTAGATTTGAAGCTTTCGTGACTGCAAGGATTCATATTCTTAGGTTTTTTCGGTAAAGTCACGTAGGTAAAAATTGTTTTTAAAAACGTCGTGGTATTTTATTTTTATTTTATTTTACTTTTATTAATTTTAATTTTTTTACCTACGTGACTTTACCGAAAAAAACCTCAGAATATTATCGGGAAACTGCTTCGATCAAACGTTCGGCCTCGGCAGGGCACGGCCCCGCGTGTCCGGCCTCCCTGGCCCCACGCAACACGGAGGAGATCGGAATCATCGGAATATTTTGTTCCTGCTGGAGAAATCCGATGAGCTGTGGAGTTCCTTTTCACAGAGGATGGCCCGGCAGTTTTCGCAGACGTCCAGAAGATGTCTCGCCTGTCAGTGTGCAGAGGTGGCAGAGCTAAGCGAGGTCCGTCCGACTCTTCCCCCAACGTGCACAGCCAATGATTTTAGTCCGTCTAACAACGAGTAGTGGTGGTGGTAGTTGTTGGCTTTCACGGCCAATATTATCCATAAGAGGTTTTTTTGGGGGGGGGAGGTTAGATCACGTAAATATATAAATGTGTCAAACTTGATTTGAAGCTTTCGTGACTGCAGGAATTACTCTTTGGTTATTTCGGTAAAGTCACGTCGAAAGAGAAAATAATGATGACGTGTTGCAATCGAAACGTCGTATTCTATTATTTAATTTATTTTATTTCTACTTGACTTTACCGAAAGAACCAAAGAGTATATAAATGTGTCGTTAGACCCACCACCACCCCGACACGGCCAATTGGTAAGGGATTGTCACGTAAACAGTTTACGGGCCATTCAGACGCTGTCTTTCCGACAGACCTGTTCTTCACCTGAGGACGGCTGCTTGCGTTGTGGCCGAATTGCCCGATGATGCTGGATGCAATTACCAGCGAAACGTCGTACTCAAATTGTAAATGTTATGGCTTCAACACACCGTTGGGCTAAAGCAGTTAACTATTTGTCTTTGTCAACGTGACACTTTTTTACTGATTGGCCGTGTCGGGTGGTGGAGGGTTACGACACATTTATAAATAACGCGGCGATCTAAAACCCAAAAACGTTGATTATGAATATTTTATTATGTTTTATTTTTATTATTTTATTATTTCAATTCTACGTGACTTTACCGAAAGAACCAAGAAGAAGTTTACGGGTGGTAGCAGGTTTCACGACTCATTTACGCGATCTAACTCCCCCTCCCAAAAAAGCATCTATTGGTGGATAGAACAAGAAGAGACATTCTTTTCGAATTTCGTCCAACAAAAACCCTCAATATTTCAAGAGCCGCGTTGCACTGTGTGGTGAATTCGAGACGGCGCTCCGTCGTATCACAGCTGTCACGGAGCAGCGGCTCTTAAAGAGCCACCGCCACCGCCGCCACGTGCGGCTCGCAACAGCAAGTTGCTGACTTCTCTGCTCGAGCGGAAGTGAAACGCACAAGCCGTGCAGCCACACGGCTCGCTCAGCCATCGTCACCTCGGCACTCAAGTTTCATGTATTAGGTATAGCCCTGTGAGCCATTCGGCTCTTGAATCGGGTGCAACCGCAACAAACAAAAACATGAACAAAAACATCTTAAAGTGAATATGTGACTAAGTGCAAACAGAAAATTCAAGAAAAGACAGCAAAATATTGCAGAAAAAAAGCACCGTACACCAACGCTGTGTGCAAAAATTCCAGTGGGATGCAAGTCAAACAACCAACAACAACCACAAGACAACTTAGATTAAGGCCATCAGTCTAACTCTGTACTACAACAAACAAACATGGCCAAACCAATACACGAATACATTGATCCGCTGGTCAACACACTTTTTCTGGCATAAGGTATTCCAACGGTGTAAAGGTAATTTTGGGGTGCTGATTCTAAATCTGGCATCAGTTTTTGTGTATCACATCAGGTTTTTGAGATATCAAATATTGCATTTTCAATAAAAACTGCAGAAGAAAAATATTAAATGAATGTGGATATCTACATAAAATGATATAATAAACACACTATCCTAAAAATACAGCACCATATTTTAACACTAAAGCAGTCACTGACTCGCAACAACTTGCAATCATAAATGACAGAGTTAATTTCGGGTAAAATCAATGAAAATGGGGTATGCCGATAGCATAAAATGAGATGTGATAGAGCAAATCTGAGATCAGATTTGGAATCAGCACCCTGAAATTAGTCTAAAACAGCTGCAAAAGTCCAGGCCAGAAAAAAATGTTTTTGTTTTTGTTTACCAGTGTTATGATAAAGATGATGAGTGGATGACAACGATGATCGTGGTGACGACGGTTGATTTATAATCTGTGTCTATGTTTACCTTCTTACGCTAGGTAAGTAGCCCAACACCGCTAATCGGAGGCAGACAGACAACAAACTAAACACACACACAAAAACTGTTCCAAAAACAAAATAAGTTTGTCAATCTGGACGATTTTAAAAGAGCATAGGAAGGGAGGAGCGTTCCAGACGGCCACAGAAACGCATCTGAAAGCGCGCGATGTAGGCGAGCGTTATTGTTGGGTGGTCAGCCAGAAGCCGCCGCCGCTGCTGCTGCTGCTGCGAGGATTGACCGGAGGTTCGCGTGATGATGATGCTGATGATGACTTTTACTCCTTTGACGAGATGTGCAAGGTGGTCAGAGCACTCTGTGTGTAACGAGTGCGACCGTATAATGTAGATTACATTGACGACATCGATGCTTCATGATAACAACGATGATGATGATGGTGATCATGATGATGATGATCATGATGATGATTATGATGATGATCATGATGATTATGATCATGATGATCCTGATGATGATGATGGTGATCATGATGATCATGATGATCCTGATGATGATTATGATGATGATGGTGATCATGATTATCATGATCATGATGATGACCATGATGATGATGATCATGATGATCATGATGATGATGATGATCATGATGATGATCATGATGATGATTATGATGATGATCCTGATGACCATGATGATTATGATGATGATGACCATGATGATGACCATCATGATGATGATGATTATGATGATGATCATCAGCGTATCTCACCATCTCCGTCCGAAGCCGCTCAATCCTGTCTCTCTGCTCCGGCGAAGGGGGGTCGCACTGACCCCACCGAGGGGGTCTCGCTCCCCCGGGACCCCCACTCATCCCCGCGGGCAAGTCGACCCCAGCAGCGGCGCGCTCCTCCATCCACGGGAATCTGCTCATCGCAGCGTCAGGGTCCCAGTGTCGACTGTTGAGAGGTCGTGCGTGTGCGCGCGTGTGGGTGGGTGGGTGTGTGTGGGTGTCTGCGTGTGGGTGTGTGTGTGTCTGTGCGTTGTTTGTGTATTGTCTGTGCGTTGTTTGTGTATTGTCTGCGTGTTGTGTGTGTGTCTGTGCGTGTTGTGTGTGTGTTGTCTGTGCGTTGTTTGTGTATTGTCTGCGTGTGGGTGTGTGTGTGTCTGCGTGTTGTGTGTGTGTCTGCGTGTGGGTGTGTGTGTCTGCGTGTTGTGTGTGTGTCTGCGTGTTGTGTTTGTGTGTGTCTGCGTGTTGTGTGTGTGTCTGCGTGTTGTGTGTGTGTGTCTGCGTGTTGTGTGTGTTGTTTGTGTATTGTTTGCGTGGCGTTTGCGTGTTGTTTGTGTGTTGTTTGTATGTTGTTTGTGTGTCGTTTGCGTGTTGTGTGTGTGTTTGCGTGGTGTCTGCGTGCGAGTGTGTTGTGTGTGCGAGCGTGTGACTATCAGCTGTTGAGAGATTGCGTGCGCGCGTGTGTGTGTGTCAGTCAGTCTACGTTGTCTGCGCGTTCGTATGTTGTTCGTATGTTGTCCGCGTGGTGTGTGGTCAGCGTTACCGAGGGGACTCGAGACTCCACGCCGCCCGTTAGCACCGTGGCTCTCGACTGCGACGCGACCGGACGACGACGACGAAGAGGAGGAGGCAGCGGGGGGAGGGCAGCAGTGAAGAAGTTGCCCATTGTGGGCGAGACGCGGGGGCGCCACGGGGGGGTGGGGGAGGGGAGCGGGGAATACACAACAACAGTGTGGCTCCATCAGTCGCCCTGGCCTGGCTCTGTGAGTCACTCTGATCTGGCTCTGTGAGTCACTTGGTCTGGCTCTGTGAGTCACTCTGGTCTGGCTCCATCAGTCGCTCTGGTCTGGCTCCATCAGTCGCCCTCGTCTGGCTCTGTGACTCACCTGGTCTGGCTCTGTGAGTCACTCTGATCTGGCTCTGTGAGTCACCTGGTCTGGCTCTGTGACTCACTCTGGTCTGGCTCTGTGAGTCACCTGGCCTGGCTCTGTGAGTCACCTGGTCTGGCTCTATGTGAGATCAACACACCACTCACCGCGTGGACTCACGCACCGTGCCGGTTGTTGTTGTTGTTGTTGTTTAATCCGCGCGTTCAACAAGCCGCGAGCTTGCACGACGGAGACGCGCAGACACCGTCGGGTGACGTCACCGACGATCACGTGGCGATGCTGATGATGATGCGATGCTGATGATGATGATGTGGCGATGTTGATGATGATGACAGGAATGATGATGATGATGTGGCGATGCTGATGATGATGATGTGGCGATGCTGATGATGATGACAGGATTAATGATGATGATGTGGCGATGATGATGACAGGAATGATGATGATGATGTGGCGATGCTGATGATGATGACAGGGATGATGATGATGATGTGGCGATGCTGATGATGATGACAGGATTGATGATGATGATTATGACAGGAATAATGATGATGATGTGGCGATGCTGATGATGATGACAGGATTAATGATGATGATGTGGCGATGCTGATGATGATGACAGGAATGATGATGATGTGGCGATGCTGATGATGCCAGAAATAATGATGACGATGATGATGACAGGGATGCTGATGATGATGTGGCGATACTGATGATTGGTGATGGTGGTGATGGTGATGATGATGTAGTGATGGTGATTAGGGTGGTGATGATAATGTACGAAATTGATGATTACCAAATCGAACAATTCTAATCGCAGTTTCCAGATAAGAGATTGGTTGATCATTATTGGGATCCCATGTAAATGGTTAGACGGGGGAGCGGTGGCGCAGCGGTTAGCGTGCGGCGCTCTTAACCCGGCGGCCCGAGTTGAATTCGCCGGCCACCTCGCAGTGACCAGCGTGGTGAAGTATGGTCAAACCTCCCCCCATTGACGACATAGCGTTGGGGTTGCCTTCATCCAGCAGTAGATTGCGAACGTGTGGAAAATATGAACAGTATCTGTAACGCGTTACCCTATGGGGCATTCCGTTATCCACTGAAGCTAATGGGCATTGACAATTAGTCCGACTGATGTGACAACAACAACACGTCCATCCACTTTGCGTCACTGCTCAAACGCGTGGCGTTCTCCCCGTGTCTCTGTTGGCCGCCCATCTTAGCGGTGGAAATTCCACATTCCCGCGACGGTGACCAGTCCATCGCGAAGTGCAACCGATACAGCGCCTGCTCCGTGACGAGCGGGTTCGCGTTTTATCGACCCGAGAGAGTCGATGATGATTTGGTTGAGTTGCAAGGCGTTGGCGGGGTTTAACGATGCGGTTACACCATTGGAACCTCATTTGCCAGAAGATAAAATCTGGCAACAAAACTGACACCTTTTTTACACTAGTTTTGTTGCCAGATGAAAGGGTAAAAAACCAATTATCATATTTTTTCTAATGGCAAATGAGGTTACCCCGAGCTCTCATACTCTGATGGTGCATTGTCTTTGAGTTGTGCGCCTTTTGGCGTCATCTGGTCCAACACCATGTGAGACTAGGCTCTAAGGAAAGCTGTCTCGGGTGTGGACTAATCAACTTCAAGGACAGTGCATACATTATCAGAGTTGTGTTTTTTGTTTGGATTATGACTGCAGGTATTGTCGTCTATGCAAACATGACTCCTCGTAAAAAAAGGTGTCAGTTTTGTTGCCAGATAGAAGGGTAAAAGACGCGCTAACATTTACGCGATCTGACTCAGAAACTCCCCTTGTGGATAATTCACTGGTCAAGACACGTTTTTCTGGCATAAGGTATTCCAACGGTTTTAAGGCAAGTTTGAGGTGCTGATTCCAAATCTGGCATCAGTTTTTGTCTATCACATCAGGTTTTTGAGATATGAAATATTGCATTTTCAATAAAAAAACTGCAGAAGAAAAATATTGAATAAATGTGGATATCTACACAAAATGATATTATAAACACACTATCCTAAAAATACAGCACCATATTTTAATACTAAAGCAGTCACTGACTCGCAACAACTTGCAATCATAAGTGACGGAGTTAATTTCGGGTAAAATCAATGAAAATGGGGTATGCCGATAGCATTAAAATGAGATGTGATAGAGCAAATCTGAGATCAGATTTGAAATCAGCACCCTGAAATTAGTCTAGAACAGCTGCAAAAATCCAGGCCAGAATATTTGTTTTTGTTGACTAGTGTAATATTTGTCGCGAAAACCCTCCGCGTGCTAAACTCGAGAGCGCTGTTCACGTGCCGAGGCGTTCATTCTCCTGCTCATAGTCCTGAGCCAGTCGACGTTACCATGCCGGGAGCAGTCCATCCATAGCATAGGTCTAATATTTCCCCGTGTTGGGGGTTAGCGGCGTGCAGCAGGTTACCTGCTCAGGTGGTGCGGGCTCGGGTTTGCGTGGTGGCCACGCAACGATGGATTCTTGACTCCATCTGTGCGGAGTTTTTGAATGTCACCCCCCGCTCGTGGTTTGGCTGCCTCCGACTTCGCTCATTCAAAGTCGGTTGTGGCCAAATCATCTCCATGTGGCGGCAACCCCTCCTGAACGGGTTCGACCGTCAAACCCATCACCGCGACCCACCAACATGAGCACCACAATGCCCCCCCCCCCCCCCCATGTCACCAGCGTCGTCTTCGTTCGCCCACATCACCACCGCCATCCACCAACATCATCACTGCAAATGTCACCGTCACCACCGTGACGCCACCGAGCATCTTGCGATTCGTGGGGAAGGCGGGGGGGGGGGCGCTTTCCTGGGTAAATAAGGGACGTGGTTTCTGTTGTTGTTGTTGTTGCTGTTGTTGTTGTGCTGCGACCTCGAGTCCATATCTCGCTGGTGTCTCGCGTTGACGCCGGGACCGGTCACGTGGGTAGGTGCCGTGACCCGTGGCTGCCCGCACCGCCAGGGCTCCCGGCTCCAGATTCCAGCCCCGACCTCGACCGCCCGCGACCTCCCCTGTGGCCGTTGGCGAGCACCTGCGGAGCCTCGGCGGGGTCTGGCTCGGGGTCCGGCTCGGCGAGCCGCTCCTCCAGGAGGACAGACACCAGACACGCAGAGTCCACGCGGCTCGCTCGGCGCGGCGATGACGCCGCACAGAACCGTGGCCGGTTTGACTCCCTGGCGTGCTTCCTGCGGCTGGGTCCGAACAGCCAGGCTAGGTGGGGGGAGAGGTGGGGGGGGGTGGGGGGAGATGTGGGGAGGGGAGAGGTGGGGGGGGGGAGGTGGGGGGGGGGGTGGGGGGAGGTGGGGAGAGGAGAGGTGGGGGGAGAGGTGGGGGGAGAGGTGGGGGGAGAGGAGAGGTGGGGGGAGAGGTGGGGGGAGAGGAGAGGTGGGGGAGAGGAGAGGTGGGGGGGGTGGGGGGAGAGGAGAAGTGGGGGGAGAGGAGAGGTGGGGGGGTGGGGGGAGAGGTGGGGAGAGGAGAGGTGGGGGGAGAGGAGAGGTGGGGGGTGGTGGGGGGATAGGAGAGGTGGGGGTGGAGGGGGAGAGGTGGGGGGGAGAGGAGAGGTGGGGGGGAGAGGTGGGGGGGGGAGATGGGGGAGAGGGGTAGGGGGGAGAGGGGAGGTGGGGGGGGAGAGGGGAGGTGGGGGGAGGTGAGGTGGGGTGGAGAGGGGAGGTGGGGGGAGGTGGAGGGAGAGGTGGGGGGAGAGGAGAGGTGGAGGGAGGTGGGGGGGGAGGTGGGGGGAGAGGAGAGGTGGAGGGAGGTGGGGGGGGGGAGAGGAGAGGTGGGGGAGAGGAGAGGGTGGTGGGGGGGGTGCAGAGAACGTGGGTCGAGGCGGGGGGCGGCTGCTCGACTGTTGCACCGCCCGCGATGATTTTGGTTCAAATGAGCGGAGCTCGAGAGGAGCGAGCAGCGACAAGGTGGTGGAGACGAAACAACGACGAGCTCGAGCGTTGTCCGGGGTTGACGCTCGTCCGCAACACGCGCGCATTGACTCACACAAACAAAGACAAATATCCCCCGTGTAGCCTTAACAGACTGTAGGGGCAAGTGCTGTTAGCGAGCACCCGGTCGGGTACGGGTACCCGTTTGCGACCCTGGTGCGGCCGAGTACGGGTAAGGAATCAAACCCCGTTTGCGACCTCTGCTGCTCAATAGCGTCGTTCACAGAGGCTGCCCCGGGTACCGGCAAAGTCAACTCGGCTCCCCATTCTCTTGTGCCCCGTATCAGACCCCATCTCGACTCCTGGCCCCTCCATCTGGCCAAACAGAAGCTGCTTGAGCAAGCGTTGGCTGCTCGAGCGGGCTACGTGACCCAGCCCGCGTGACATCCTCGCACTGATTGGGGACAGATCATTCAAGGGTCTGTGAGCTCATCACAGAATCCAGTCTGGTTGAACCCAAGATGGATCGTAAGCAGGCCAGCCTGGATGTTTCAAACCGGCGCAGATATCGATTTAAAGGGAGTCCGCACATATTTAGACTATAATGAGACAATAATGTTTGTGTGTAACGCGCGTGATGTCACTCAACATAGACTGTCAGTACACTCACCGAGGTTAAGAACCAGGCTACAGTCTACATTATAGACTGTCAGTACACTCACCGAGGTTAAGAACCAGGCTACAGTCTACATTGAAGACTGCCAGTACACTCACCAAACTTAATAACCAGGCTACAGTCTACATTATAGACTGCCAGTACACTCACCCAGCGTAATAACCAGGCTACAGGCTACATTATAGACTGTCAGTACACTCACCCAGCTTAATAACCATTGCTATAGTCTAGATTATAGACTGTCAGTACGCTCACCCAGCTTAATAACCAGGCTACAGTCTACATTATAGACTGCCATTACACTCACCAAACTTAATAACCAGGCTACAGTCTACATTATAGACTACCAGTACACTCACTCCGATTAAGAACCATGCTACAGTCTACATTATAGACTGTCAGGATACTCACCCAGCCTAATAACCAGGCTACAGTCTACATTATAGACTGCCAGTACAATCACCCAGCTTAACAACCATTGCTACAGTCTACATTATAAACTGCCAGTACACTCACTCCGATTAAGAACCAGGCCACAGTCTACATTATAGACTGCCAGTACATTCACCAAACTTAATAACCAGGTTACAGTCTACATTATAGACTGCCAGTACACTCACCCAGCTTAATAACCATTGCTAAAGTCTACATTGTAGACTGCCAGTACACTCACTCCGATTAAGAACCATGCTACAGTCTACATTAGTGATTTTGTTGTTGTTTATTATTGTTATTTTATCTTTATGATTTTTATTCACTTTATTTTTCTATCTACGCGACTTTACCGAAATAACCAAAGATTATGAATTCCTACAGCCACGAAAGTTTTAAGTAAAATTTTCTTCAGCACTTCAGACAAAAGGCAAGTCTAATTGATGCTTCTACATTGTGGTAAAATAGACATTTCTCGGTGATTTTCCAGATATTGTATCGAATTACAATTTATTTAAACCCCAGCCACCGAAAGCAGAAGAGAATAAAGTATCAGAGCAGTGAATTTGAACAATTTGACGGTCAGTTAAATACAATGCTACAGTGGCATGAAGCGAGATGTTTGATGACGTAGTTTTGTGCAATAATCACTGCCATTAATACAGTGTTCTTGGTTCTTTCGGTAAAGTCATCACGTAGAATGGAAATAATAAAATAATAAAAATAAAACATCAAATAATTCTCACGACGTTTCGGCCACAACGCAAGCAGCCGTCCTCAGGTGAAGAACATGTCTGTCGAGAAGACTCTGTCTGACTCTGGTCTCGACAGACCTGTTCTCCACCTGAGGACGGCTGCTTGCGTTGTGGCCGAAACGTCGTGAGAATTATTTTATGTTTTATTTTTATTATTTCCATTCTACGTGACTTTACCGAAAGAACCAAGAAAATGAATCCCTGCAGTCACGAAAGCTTTAAATCGAAAATTAATACAGCGCTACAGTGAACTGCAGTGAAGTGTTTGATGACGTACTTTCGTGCAAGATTCATTGCCATTAAATTTACACACGATACAATTATACTCTGGTCAATTTTTTCGTAAATATTACAGCTTCCGTCCTAGGACGAGCGAAAGGCTTGTACTCGCATATGTATACACACAAATGCAATGATCACTTTAAGGGTGGCACGTACGGTGGTTGTGGGTGACCAACACCACGCCCGCCGCCTTTGTCTTCCCAATGTTGTTGTTCACACACCGCGTCAGCTATTCATTTAGGGCTGAGTCCACCTAGGGGAAGCATGTGACTTGCCACTGTCATTTTGCCGTGAGTGAAAATCGAGTTTGGCTCGCCGCGTTCCGTAAATCAGTGCGCAAACCACTGCACCACCGCTCCCCATAGTCAGATAAATCAAGTGCTGTTAGCGAGCACCTATGAAGGCCAGCACGGCACACGAGGGGGTGGGTGGCCAGCACCACGCCCGGCCGCCTTTGTCTCCCCAGTGGCGATGTTTTTACGCACCGCACCAGGTACTCATTTGAGGCCGAGTCGACCTAGGAGACGCCCGGAACCGGCTCAGATAATCGCCACCGGTGCCGGCCGTGAGCGGGAATCGAACCCGTGTCGCCAGGCGCTCTAACCGCTACACTACACACACAGAGAGAGAGAGAGAGACACGCGTGTAAACACCACGATGTGTTTCTAGGGGAATGGGGTGAGGGGGGGACACGGCTCATCACTCCGACGCGGTGCATCACCGGAAGCCACTCACCCACAAGATCGTGAGCAATGTCCCGCAGGAGGTGGCCCACGATCAGATAGGCCACCCCCACCACCACGAGCGCAGCCATGAGCAGGTAGAGCACTGCCTGGGGTAGTGGCGTGGTGGTGGTGGTGGTGGTGCCGCCGGAGAGGGAGCCGTGCCCGGGGGGGTACAGGGAGGACACGCCAGCGGACACGACGTCACCACCACCACCGCCACCGCCACCACCACCACCACCAACCTCACCACCACCACCGCCACCGCCGCTACCAGGAGTCCCCGCTGGTGCTGAGGAGTTCATAGCGTGCGCGACTCGGAGCGACTGCAGCAGCTGTGTTGCTAACGACATGACTCCGACAACACCACCGCTGCAGCACCGCCGCTGCCAATGCCACTAACACCAGCAGCAGCAGCAGCAGCAGGAGAAGCACCACCGCGGTGATTGTTGTTGTGGTTGTTGTTGTTGTGGTTATTGTTGTTGTGGTTGTTGTTGTGGTTGGAAGCCGCTCGCCTTGCTGTCCGTTTCAGCACCGCGTCGAGCGCGCGGCGCGCGGTCTCGCCTGGAACTCGCATCGTCGCCCGCGGCGCCACGGGAAACCACCCGCGCCTCGGCTTCTTGTCCGTGTGTTGTTGTTGTTGTTGTTGTTTGTTTGTTGTTGTTGTTGGGATGCCATCTGGAGGAGACTTTGATTCGCTGTTCGCTGTGCGCGTTAATGCCGAGCGCTCGCTTCTCCTCGCCCCCTCTCCCCCGGGCCGCTGTCCCCCCCCCCTCTCCCTCTCCCGTGATTGATGCTCAAAGTGGCTAATTTGGCGGGGGGGGGGGGCGGGGGGGGCTCAGCCCCGCCCCTCGGCTGTCCGGGAGATTTGTTCAGCGCGATGGAGATTCCTGACCTTGACCGCTCCCAAATCCCGATCCGTCTCTTGGCCCGGACTCTTAAGCTGGATGGGCGAGGATTGCCCAAACCGTCTTTGTCTCTCCCCCCCCCCTCTCTCTCTCGGTCTCGATATGCCGTACCTCTGTATGTCTCTCCCTGGATGTATATACACAACTATTTATTCTTCCCTGCATGTCTCAACCCGCGTGTCTGTGTCCCTGTGCGTGTCTCTAACTCTCTGTGCGTCTCTGTGCGTGTCTGTGTGCATATGTGCGTGTCTGTGTGTCTATGTGTGTCTGTGTGTCTATGTGTGTCCGTGTGTCTCTCTGTATCCCGGTGTTCCACTGTGATTCCTCGCGTATGTGTGTCTGTTTGTCCCTACGTGTGTCTGTGTGTGTGTGTCACTGTGCGTGTCATCGTGTCTCACTGTGTCTCTATGTGTGTGCCTCTGTGTGTGTCTCGCTGTGTGTGTCTCTGTGTGTGTATCACTGTGTGTGCCACTCACTGTGTGTGCCACTCACTGTGTGTGTCTCTCTGTCTCTCTGCGCGTGTATCACTGTGTGTGTCACTCACTGTGTGTGTGTGTCTCTCTGTCTCTCTGTGTGTCTCTCCCTCTGTGTGTGTCTCTCTGCGCGTGTTTTACTGTGCGTGTGCTACTCTGTGTGTTTCTCTCTGTGTGTGTCTTTGCGCGTGTATCACTGTGTGTGTGCCACTCACTGTGTGTGTATGTGTCTCTCGGTCTCTCTGTGTGTCTCTCCCTCTGTGTGTGTCTCTCTGCGCGTGTTTCACTGTGCGTGTGCTACTCTGTGTGTTTCTCTCTGTGTGTGTCTCTCTGCGCGTGTATCACTGTGCGTGTGCTACTCTGTGTGTTTCTCTGTGTGTGTGTCTCTGCGCGTGTATCACTGTGTGTGTGCTACTCACTGTGTGTGTCTCTCTCTGTCTCTGTGTGTGCCACTCTCTGCGCGTGTATCACTGTGTCTCTCTCTGTGTCTCTCTCTGTGTCTCTCTGTGTGTGTGTATCACTGTGTGTGTCTCTACACTGTGTGTGTGTATCACTGTGTGTGTCTCTCTCTGTCTCTCTGTGTGTCTCTCTCTGTCTCTCTGTGTGTCTCTCTGTCTCTGTGTGTGTGCTACTCACTGTGTGTGTCTCTCTCTGTCTCTCTGTGTGTGTCTCTCTGTGTGTGTGTCTCTCTCTGTGTGTGTGTCTCTGCCTGTCTCGCTGTGTCTGTCTCTCTGTGTGTGTCTCTGCCTGTCTCGCTGTGTCTGTCTCTCTGTGTGTCTCTCTGCCTGTCTCGCTGCGTCGAGCCGTCAGCGATTCGCTCCGCACGCCGCGCTCCTCAGAACCCCCCCAGCCCCCCCCCCCCCGCGTGTCCTTCATCTTCACGGCGTCTCTGCGCCGTGAAGATGATGGAGACGACGCGAGAGGGGGGAGTCGCGTGAAGAGGAGCCCACAGCGAGCGGTCCCCCCCGGGCACGTGCGTCGATTCACCCCTCTGCATCCAACAACTCGCGGGCGCGGACCTGCACCGACCCCCCCCCCCCCCCCCCCCATCTCACGCGATTCCTCCCACAGGCTTCGGAATCGTCGAGCAGACGACGGTTCTTGTCCATCGCTGATGCGTCTCTACCCCCCCCTCTCTCTCTCGCCTCCCCCTCCTCCTCCCTCTCATCTCTCTCCCGATCTCTCTCCTCTCTCTCTCGCCTCCTCCTCTCTCTCATCTCTCTCCCAATCTCTTTTTTTTCTTTTTTTTTACGATCAGTGGAAACAAGAAGATGCTCGGTGTATTCGGCACTTTGCTTCGTTCATCATTTCGTAATTTGTTTTTTTTAACTTAGCTTCATGTAAAACACCCACCTCTCGCTCACTCTCTCGGTCACTCTCTCGCTCACCCTCTCGGTCACTCTCTCGCTCACCCTCTCGCTCACCCTCTCGCTCACCCTCTCGCTCACCCTCTCGCTCACCCTCTCGCTCACCCTCTCGGTCTATCTCTCGCTCACTCTCTCGCTCACCCTCTCGGTCTCTCTCTCGCTCACCCTCTCGCTCACGCTCTCGCTCACCCTCTCGGTCACCCTCTCGGTCACCCTCTCGGTCACTCTCTCGCTCACTCTCTCGCTCACCCTCTCGGTCACTCTCTCGCTCACCCTCTCGGTCACTCTCTCGCTCACTCTCTCGCTCACCCTCTCGCTCACCCTCTCGCTCACTCTCTCGCTCACTCTCTCGCTCACTCTCTCGCTCACCCTCTCGCTCACCCTCTCGGTCTCTCTCTCGCTCACTCTCTCGCTCACCCTCTCGGTCACTCTCTCGCTCACCCTCTCGGTCACCCTCTCGCTCACTCTCTCGCTCACCCTCTCGCTCACCCTCTCGGTCACCCTCTCGCTCACTCTCTCGCTCACTCTCTCGCTCACTCTCTCGCTCACTCTCTCGGTCACCTTCTCGGTCACTCTCTCGCTCACTCTCTCGCTCACTCTCTCGCTCACCCTCTCGCTCACCCTCTCGGTCACTCTCTCGGTCACTCTCTCGCTCACTCTCTCGCTCACCCTCTCGCTCACCCTCTCGCTCACCCTCTCGCTCACCCTCTCGCTCACCCTTTCGGTCACTCTCTCGCTCACTCTCTCGCTCACTCTCTCGCTCACTCTCTCGCTCACTCTCTCGGTCACTCTCTCGCTCACTCTCTCGCTCACACTCTCGCTCACCCTCTCGCTCACTCTCTCGCTCACCCTCTCGCTCACCCTCTCGGTCACTCTCTCGCTCTCTCTCTCTCGGTCGCTCTCTCGCTCACTCTCGTTCTGCACGCAGCCCGATCTCTCTCTCCTCTCTCTCATCTCTCTCTCTCCTGATATGTTAAGGTGCACCTTTGCGTGGCCACAGGCGCCGTGGTGGCGTTACCGCCGCTTCGTGGCGAGCGGTGGTGGTTGTTGTTGTAGTTGGTGTTGTGGTTGTTGTTGTGGTTGTTGTGGTTGTTGTGTGTGGGGTGTCAAGATCGGCCTCTGTGGAGGAGGTTCGTGAAGGACGCTGCTGCTGCTGCTGGGCAGTCGGAGGCAGTCGCCCTCCAGCAACAACGGAGGGCAGAGGAGCGACGCTCACAACAACGAGCGGACCGCCGGGCGGATAAACACGCAGCAAGTTCGCACAGTGGGGTGGGGGGGCACAGCTGTTGCATCTGCCGGTGATCTCAGTCTGCCAACCCATGGCACCTGGGTCTGTCCCGCGACCTCCTGCCAGCGGGCGTTCGTCAACTTCACGTGGCAGGCTCAACGCGCACCTAGCCTGGCACGAGAGCCGTAGTGACGTCACCGTCAGTGGTGAATGGCGGGTGTTGGTATTTACGTTTGTGTTTGTGTATGTACTTAAGTGTGAGTGCCTAGCGACGTCGATCATTAACATTTGCCCTCCCAATCCCTTAAGTACCCATCTACTCTGATAATCGGATCAGACGGGGGTGGCAGGAGCACCGGTTGACTCATTACTCAACCACATAGAGGTCAAACATAGCTCCCCCCTGACCCTGCCTGGACCCCCCCCCCCCCCTCCTGCCGTCTCTATCCCCCCCACCCCTCCACCCATGTCCCCCTCCCATGGGTCCACGCGGCGTGAACACGTGCGGGCAAATCTCCCGGTGTCTCCACGTGGATTTCGGTAATTGGTGGAGAAACTCCAGATGTTACTGCTGCGCATTGCCACGTCGTCGTACATCAGCATCATTATCATCATCATCGCCCGCTCACACAGCCACATACCTCCTCCGGCTGTTACTCATCATCAGCAGCATCATCCCTCGCTCTGTGTTATAATAACCAAATATGTCATCATCAACACACCTCGTTCGGTTTCATTTTATACTTCGTCATCATCTTCCATAGTTCTAACGGGCGGGTGAGCAGGTGAGTGGGCAGATGGGTAGGTGACCGAGAGGGTGAGAGAGCAGTTGAGTGAATAGGTGAGTGGGCAGGTGAGTGAGTAGGTGAGTGGGTAGGTGAGTGAGTAGGTGAGTGGGCAGGTGAGTGAGTAGGTGAGTGGGCAGTTTTGTGGGCAAATGAGTGGGTAGGTGAGTGAGCAGGTGAGTGGGTAGATGAGTGGCCTGGTGAGTGGGCAGGTGAGTGAGTAGGTGAGTGAGTAGGTGAGTGACCAGGTGAGTGGGCAGGTTGGTGGTCATGTGAGTGGGCAGGTGAGTGAGTAGGTGAGTGGGCAGGTTGGTGGCCAGGTGAGTGGGCAGG